AAAAAAAAAAAAAAAAAAATTAAACAAAAAAAAAAGGATAAATTTATGGGAAACCATAGTAGCGGACAATTAAGATCTACAAGAGAAAGTGTCGTAGGTTAGATACGAGATCAGAACCGGGTCTAAGGAGGAATATCAAACATCTATGACGTGGCTGTAGCTTACCCAGAGCTTACAAAGGGCAAGACACAGAGCATCAGAATATCAATCTACATCACAAGACGATATCACCAGGTGATTTCATCCAATGGATAGGTAGTCATAGCCACTGATCTTGCATGACAAGTGCCGAATGCTCAGGTTGGCCACCACGCAGCGTCTGTCGGTAGAACGGAGGGCAACAAAAAGAGGTAAAAAAGAAAAATGCGAGGCAACTCGACCAATGAGCCTGATTCCGGTGTTTGGTTCCTTACGATCCCCGATCTGGGTTAAGATGCGCTAGATCGTCGTTTTGCAATGTGATGTCGTCCGCATGTGGCTGTTTCAAGATTACTATTCCTACGGTCTAGCGCTGGCATGTTATGAAGCAATGAATTGGTTTGTTTGTCGTTTGCTTAAGGTGGTATTGCATGGACATATATGACCGACAATTCGCACACTATATATGAGACCATTCAGGCAATGCTGACGGGAGCATGGGCTCTGCTATAAGCTGACATCTTAAGCTCCGTCCGCCTTAACAGACAGGGGATCTCAACTTCTTTGTTCTGACCATGTGGTCCAGTGGGTAATAACCGCCGGTCATATTTAGGCGCCGGTTAGCTGCGGACGACCAATGCGTTTGGCCAGCGTGGAGCACCCAGTGTAGGAAGGATTCTGTTGCCTGCATTGGCGCAAGGTCCGTGAGCGAGTGGGTGTGGGCGTCATACCAGTCCCTCGATCCTGTTAGCAGTACAGTCTGTGCTCATGATGGACGTACATTCACTGCGCCATGTCTGAGAGAGTCACGCTCACAGTCAGCTAGTGTATGTACAGTACAGTGTACGGATCAGACCATGAGTACCACTTACGACGGCGTGGGGTTGCAATCCATCTCCCCGGGACACATCCAAAGAGGAAGGACCTGAGCCACAGTGATGCTCAGCGACGGCGCTAAGCCGCTAATACCTCGTGCTAAACCTTCGCGGATCGCCTGGAATAGTGGGTTTCACTACTCGGCCGTTGGGATTCTTGTCTAAGACAGAGTCTAATTAGTGTCATTCCTATCCGGGTGCGGCGCATGGGATCAGTCGTTTTTCAACGCAATTTGAATTGGGCACTATATGCAGGGTCAAGTTGATATTCAAACCGGATTTCATCTCTCTACTACGGGCGAATGGATGAATCATTCCCGTGTATATGGCCTGATTTTCTTGGTTCTCTGCTGGTACCTGGACGATGGAGTCAGACAGAGGGCAAAAAGTCAGCGAGTACGGCAACACACTCCAAAGCAGGACTAACCTGACCAGGATGTTGGTTGGTATGATTTTAGCGAGCTTCTAGTTCTATTCTAGTTGGAGAGAGAAATCTCGTACTGGGGCGAGGCCCAAATCTTGCATGGAACGAACAGCACCTGGTCTAGTTAGCATCATACCCAACCTTCACCGACCTCTCCCATGGGAATGGATCATTAATAACAGAATCATGAGTAATACCAGGGGAAAGGATGGCTATTTTCCAACCCTGGACCAGAGCTCGGCCAGCGATTGGAGCAGCAACTGCAGCCAAACCTCCAGTCGCTATGACAGATCATCCGCTGCTGCGACTCTGGTAAATCGTCAGGGATCTTGCATCCACACAGCCAAACCCCTGCGACGACGGACAAAGTGACTGGTGGCCCTCCTGATTTACCACACAGAAACTTTCTGCCTATTCTTGAGTAGCAACCTGTAGCATTTCGCTGGCTGGTCATGGAGGGTAGGGCGTCTTCTACGAAATAAACAGGAAAAGCAGTAGAGCAAGGTCGGAAAGGGGGGGAGGGGGCTTAGAGAAGAGTGTATGTGAATGTGTAGGCTATGCAAGTTTCAACCCCTCTTTCACATAGTCTTTCTCATTTCCACCCCCACCTCGATGGAGAACTGCGTCAACGAGGCGAAAGTTGGGCAGAGAACTGGAGGGATGTCTAAACCCCACGCGAAGTTTGACACCCTCCCAAAGCAACGGTTCTCGGAGCTCTCTGCCCCCCCGAAAGCCTGGGAGTTCGACTCGAAACCAGATGAAGGGATGAAGATATCATAGAGTCATTATCATCAAACCATATGGCTTCCCAAGAATCCCAACGGTATTCTTAGTTTCATCGTGCTCGCAAAATTTCGCACCAATCAAGCCCCCATCCCCGCACACCCGATCCAGACGACGAGCGTGTCGATCACTGTTGGATGCAACGAATAAGACGTGCATCCCGTAGTTAGGGAAATTAACCCAAACAAGACGCATGCCAGAGACTGAACTCGACTTCACCGGAACAAGTGTGGTCGTGGCAATTCGAATAGAGTTGCGAGTAAGAGGGGAGACACAAACACTGACTCAGGTCTTCCACTCAAGACTCGAGAAGCTAAATTGCGGTAGCCACCGTCGACGCCTAATGTCGCCCATTCGACATGGCCCATCAGCGGACTGTCGGTTCTGATTGGCATGTAAAACCCCCGAATAATAGGCCATGCGTGTTTTTTTTTTTAATTTTTTTTTTTTTCGCCATGATTGATCCGCAACGGAAATGTCCGATAATCTGCGGCCAAACCAGAAAATCAAGAAGCCTGGTCAGGTCGCCCAATGATCGTGTTGTCGATCATAATGGCCTTGTATCTATACACTTCATGCGTCTAGCTTAATGGAGCCCTTTATTTTTCTTTCTCGTTTTTTAGCCGTAGCCTCGTCTGTACCGTAAATCCCATCCGGCTGGGAGGCTGGCTGGACATCTGCATTCGGTGGTACATCAGTGTGATCTCTCCAGAGCCCACACATCGAAAAGCCCTGATCTCCACCGTAAGAAACAAGGAAAAAAAGGAAACTTACCACCGTGCATACCCACTAAAAGATGATGTGGAGGAAAGAGCGAAACCGGATGATCTTCGTTTCCACTGAAGTGCAGGGGGGCCTGTTCTCATACCTCATATCATCCTGTGATTTTTAGGCTATGCTAATACATAGAGTATCAAGTTGTTATAGTCCTTCAGCCCCATATGCATGGCCTCATTTTCTCGTCACACTCTCGCGCGCACTCAGACCACATCTGCCGAACACATGGATCCTCGATGTAAACTCTCTGTGAGGTATTTTTTCTGTCTGTCTTTCTTTTTCTTTTTTTTATTTATTTATTTATCTTTTTTTTTTTTTTTCTCTCTCTCTTATTCGTTTTTAGTCTTTCTCTGTACGGTAAGCCTTAACGACTTGACAAGCACGGACAATGTCAATGTATACCGGTTTGTATAGTCGTCACATACCCACTGGCAGACACGAGAGTCACATTGACTTCTCGTCGAGAAAACTATCGCACTGACAATCTGCGGCTCGGATCGCCTTCAAACGGTGAGGGATGTGGTGTGACACGTAAGAAAACATCCCAGGGTATCAGCGATGCGTTATTGTTTATCATGTGCCTGTATTGTATCTTTGCCTCCTTTATCCTGCTCTTTTAGGTTGTGTCTTCGGCCGGATGGATTGTCTTGTCGGCTTGTATTAGCTGACTGCCTTGTGACCTGGCTACCGTCGTCTCTATTGCTTGCTTGGCTCTTCCAACCTGGCTCCGTTGAGTGTGGCTTGCTTGCTTGGGTTTGTGCCTCGGTTGTTGTTGTTCTATAGCTGTGGCTTGTGGACAGTCGAATCCTGACTCTCTTGCATACTTGATGATTGTGTAGACTGGATGGTTTTGACCAGAAATTGACAATGATATATAACAATATTTTGGGTGATGGATCCTGTGGATGTAGAAGTTTGGAGCTGTGGTTTGGAATCAGTCGTAATTGTTAGAGTATCAAAGCATATATAGATATCTTTGGTAGATAGAGAAAAGAGAGAGAGAGGAGTTGTATATATATATATATATATAATAGTCAGCGTGGGTTTATTCCAATATACGGTCATCAACCCAAGAACCATGCATCAGGAACGACATATAGATATGCAACCTTCTATTTATATATGTATATGAACGGATTTTGTATATACCCTGCGTGAAATCATTAATCGTCATATTTACCTGACTTGCATTCGACCCTGCGTCCTCGTCGAGATCACGATTAAGCTTCCAAATCCAAGCGCTCCAAGATCCTGTCGAGCTTATCCATCAGGATGTGGTAGTTCATCGAATCCTTATCGAATTCATCCCGAACAATTTCTCCGTTTAAGTTGCGCATGACATGGCCATGATCCTGTGCTTTCTGAGAAATGTGTCCTGCATCCTTCAGTCCTTCAACAACAACCTTGTCTGTAAGATCAATCGCTTCGACACCATGTATAACCTTTTCAATACTCTCATCGTTGGTAGTCGCGCTGGTGGCATGCTGCTCGGCCTCCTCTTCCATCATTTCTTCGAGACCAGCATCGTCGAACCTGAGCCTAAATCGTTCGCCAAGATAAAAGCGAATATCGTCTAACAACTCGATAGAATCTGTTTCCTGTCTTCCTTGAATACGAGATGCTGACTCTTGAATTACTTCAGCAAACTCAGGCGAATCGATGTGAGCTTCCAACCGATACGCCAGGTAGCGAGCCGCGAATTCCTCCAGTCGTTGAACCCGTGTCATCCATGCTGCTCGAATTATAGCATATATGTCGAGGTCCTCTTCCTCCTTAGTGCCCCGCGTCTTCGCAGCTTCCGCCTGGGACATGTTACCGCTACCGAGGGTGCTGATCACAACCGCTGCTTTGGTTTTAAGCTTCTCTATAAACAGCATGTCTGCAGCGAAAAGAACGTCAACCGCAACTTCGAGTGGGAAATCGACCTTTTCGGTGTAAAGGAACGTAAGGACAATCTCCAGAACGTCCGGGGAGCAGTCGACATTGATGATGTGTAGGTGATCTTTTAGATACGCTTCGCGGAATGATGACGAAAACATGGTATGGAAGAATTCAGACCTCAAAAGCATTGCCCGATGGCAGGGAAAGAGGACCGACTTCTGGGTTTGCTCTTTGGGGCCAGCATTGGCACCGTCTCCTGGCCGCAGGGTACCGTTGCTATGTTCATCCGTATCCTCCGGCAGTTCATCAGCTTGAAGCAAGACATCTGCAAAGATTGCATTGTTGCGATCCCATTTGACGTCCCCTGCCTTGGTCGTTTCGACTACCAACTTATTTTGTAGAACATTGCTGCGGAACCATTCCTCTAATTGGTCTCTTCCCTTTGCAAGCTCCGTAGTCCTCCTCTGTCTAGCTAATCTCCTATCACCACTGTCAAGAATGCTGTCCACAAGAGTGTCAATATCCAAGTGTTTGGCAATCCTATCGATGCCAGTAAAGACTTCCGATTCAGTAAAGCCCGTGCCGGGGCCACTTCTTAGTTCACGGGGTGCTTCCCCGAAATATAAATATTTGATCGCTGCGGCAAAAGCCTGTGGCGGTATAGTGCTGGGAAGCTTCCATGTCGCGGTTTCAGGGGAAGCTGCCAGCTTCCTCCGGAAGTAAGGTGATCGCGCAGAGAGTATGAATTTATGTAAATACAGAGACTCATCCTCGGCGCTCACAACGATATCAGACGTCCCAGGCTGGTCGCGGGTGAGGAGGGAGGATATATGGGCCGCGAGAGGCTGAAGGGGGTCAGTCGATTTAGAGTAGTCATATTCAAGCAACAAATTTCGAATGCGGTCGTTCAGAGCATTATATAGGCATCTACACGAGCGCGGATGTCAGCGGTACTTGAAGGTTGGGTGGTAGCTAGACCAGCCAAACCTTTCTCCCTGGAATGTATCTCGCTCGCATAATGCGCCAGACTCGAGAAGCAATTGGGCAACCTCGTAATGGCCACAAAGACTTGCCTGCACGGTGCTTAGCAGTGAACTATCGTCTCTCCATCACCAATAACTTGCGTAATTCGACAGGGTTGCCAGGGTGGCCCTATGGAAGCCAAGATCACTTACCAAGATCAAGGGGGTGTAATCATAGGGGTCGCGAGCATTGATATTGACTCCTTCTGTGATCTTCTCTTGACAAACTTTGAGATCCCCCTTACGACAAGCAGCGCAGAGCTCCCGAAACGGCTCACTAAGATCGAGAGGGTTATCGTCCTTAATGGTTCCCTCCTGGATCAGTTTCTTTTCATTGTGTAAACTGATCTCTAATTGGTCCTTGCGAAGCACAGTCGGTTCAGACATTGCGAGTGAGTCTTGGGCCGATGGTGTCCGGAGATATTGGATACTAATGTTGCCGAGAGCGGGACACTATCGGTTGGCGATGCCATCATCTTATCGATAAGAGATAATCACGTGGGCCATCTAATCGCCACATAGGAAAAGGAGAGGCCCTTCAAAGGGGGACCTATCGGCTAGTAGTCCTTGCAGAATACAACGCCAGGAATCGGTGTGAAAGGACAATAGATTCATGCATGGCATACTGGATCCACCACGCACAGATGTGTGCCTGTGATTGCATCCAAGTGACAGTTCTTACAGCAGGATGGAATTGTTTACTCATTCAAGCAACAATGATGGTGGTGATGATGACACGACTCCTCACCGCCCTAGCTTCACCGCCTGCTACATGAAGCAAGGATCGCTTGCGCACGCCGTTGCTCAGCAACAGTGCTTCAACTAAACATTCATGGCCTCCGTCCCGTTGCGTGAATACTTACTTCTTTAAATCTACCAATTTTACTCCATGTCCAAAGCCGACCTCGTTGTCTACTAACCAAACAGGTTCTACGCAATAGGATTAACTCATGAATGAGCTGATCACTCATTCATTCTCTTTCAATCCTCCTATTCGACCTTTCCCTTTACCCTTGAGTGCTTGCCTGTGGCATAATCTACTCAGTAGCCACGATGGCAATCGCATTGGCGGAAGCAGACAAGTATGAGGTACTGGAGAAGATTGGTAAGGCATATATATATATATACATCTCTCTATGTCTGATGCTTGACCCCGCGAAATATCTGACTGTCTTCAGGTTGTGGTTCCTTCGGCATTATTCGCAAAGTCAGGAGGAAAACAGATGGCTTTGTAGGCTCGCCGAACCCCTCTTCTACCTTGTACGACTACTTACAAACGTTAAATGCAGATTCTGTGTCGCAAGGAGATAAATTACATCAAGATGTCCCAAAAAGAGCGTGAACAGCTTACGGCCGAATTCAATATTTTGAGCTCTCTTCGACACCCGAACATTGTCGCTTACTACCACCGTGAACACCTAAAGGCGAGCCAAGACCTGTATCTTTACATGGAATACTGTGGCGGCGGTGATCTCAGTATGGTCATCAAAAACCTGAAGAAGACGAACAAGTACGCGGAAGAAGAATTTGTCTGGCGTATACTATCACAATTGGTCACTGCGCTTTACCGTTGCCATTATGGTGCAGACCCAGCGGATGTAGGCTCCAATATTCTAGGACCTACACCTAAGCCCTCAGGCCTTAAGGGAAAGCAGGCGCAGATGACAATCCTGCACCGCGATTTGAAGCCTGAAAATATTTTCCTGGGACATGACAACACGGTTAAGCTAGGAGATTTCGGCCTTTCTAAGCTTATGAATTCTCATGATTTCGCATCGACATATGTCGGTACTCCATTCTACATGTCCCCCGAGATATGTGCTGCGGAAAAATATACCTTGCGCTCCGATATTTGGGCTGTCGGCTGCATCATGTACGAACTCTGCCAGAGAGAGCCACCTTTCAACGCAAGAACACATATTCAACTTGTCCAACGAATCCGCGAAGGCAAATTCGCTCCTCTGCCTGAATTTTACTCCCCCGAGCTGAAGAATGTCATTGCCAGCTGTTTACGTGTGAACCCAGACCACCGCCCTGACACTACCGCCCTGATCAACCTTCCTATCATCCGCTTGATGAGAAAGGAGAAAGAAGTTGTTGACCTTAGTAGCAAACTTCGAAAGCGCGAAGAAGCAGCCCTGCAAAAGGCCAAGGAAGTTGAGCAGACATTTGCAAAACTTGAAAAGGAGAGGCAACAGATGAAATCCGACATTGAAAGCTCCCTGCGCCGGGAATGGGAAGTAAAAGCTAGACTAGAAATTGACCGTCAGGTGCAGAATGAACTTGAAAAACTTCGCAAGAGGTTTGAGACCGAGGTTCAAGATAGGGTCTCGATTGAACTAGAGAAACAGAAGAAAACTCACAACATCAGAGATGATACTGGCCTACGCTCAAGCGGTTATGGCTCCCGGTCGTCTACTAGTAATGGAGACGACACAGACTTTCCTTCCACCACTGATATCAGTCAGCTGTCAATGGAGTCACCAGCGAACAAGCCGTTAAGAAGAGAGACTCGCACTCCTTTCAATCGCTCAAAAACAGTCGTCGAGTCGCCCGTCGATGTGCAGATGGCTGAGCCATCCCCAATTTCAATCGCGTCACTCTCCTTGTCCCCCCGTCGTACCTCTGCCACCTCTTCTGGTAAGAACATCTTCGCAGAAGCAGAGAGACAGCGGGCCAAATGGGAACCTACTCTAGCGTACTCCGATGATGAAGACGACACCCCTGATCTTCCTTCACCTACCAGGCCTAAAGTCAAACCCGATCCTTTCAAGGCCCCGTCTCGCCCCCTCCTTCGTCAGAACACAGCTGCGCTAATGCAGAAACTGAGCACGCAACCGCCACTTTTCCCCAGCAACCCTTCAAGATTGCCGCAAGCATCAGGATCCGGTCAAACTGAGACCCGTCACGGAGAGCCCAAAGCAAGATCTCCCCACCGACGTCTGTCGAAGATCCCATCGTCAGCGAACTTGGCTGCTGACGCTGGATCGCCAACTCGCAAGTCTGGCTTAAAACAGCACCCTACGAAGGTTAACGGTGGTGGAGAGGAGATGTTCAAGGCCGTGATGCAGCGCAATATGGGTGGCAGAACACTGGTGGAACTTGCCCAAGCCCGGGCTGGTGGCCGTCCTGTTGAAGATCTCAAGCGATGTGCCAGTGATTCCCGCACTTCAAATTGCTCCTCCGGCCTCAAATCTTCAGATCGCGATCCACCAGCAGTGTGGGACCCTGAAAAGGATGAGATGCCGAGCCCCTTCCTTGCGCGCGGTCGAAAGGTTATTCGTAATTTGCGGTAATACCCTCCAACTACTTGTTTGGCCTATTGTGCCCCAAAGGCAACATTTCACTTCTACAAAATTGGTCGATTTTGGTTTTCGCTGGTTGATCCGTGAAAACAACGGCATCTACATAAGACACCCCTCGTTTCCTATACAGTTTAATACTTGCAATACTCTGGAGTTATGGTTGGATCATGTGCATTCTGAGGCATGAAGTTGACCGTGCAGAAAATCGAGGCCTTCGTGCATTTCTCCTGGTGCATCATTGTTGAACACTGCTCTCCGACCGATCCACTCTTTCCTTTGTTGTTATGCCGTGATGTCCTTGTTTCTTTGGTTTTTTTTTTTTTTCCCATTGCTTGGGAAACTGTACAGATATTTGCATTCGCCAGCCGGCTTTTGGTTTCCGCATTGATTTGGTGCCCTTGGGTCTGGAGATCTCTTGCACTCATCTCGAAGACTTGGATTCTTGTTCTTAGACCGCTTCACAGTCCTCAGAGACATGCCAACTTCTGCCACTCTTTTGGGACTGTACATCATTTTCCTTTTATCTCTGCTTTCTAGGTGTTTGAGGGGTGGTACATTGCTTGAAGGCTTACCGGGTTTAAAGGCGTATTCATGGAAACGGTCTTGTATGTACATACAGTTTTGTGTTATCTCTTTGAGAAGCTCTGTCACAGAGCGGAATACCTATGTCAGATTCTTTTTTCCAAATGTGATATGTCCGCGATGGAGCCTACTACTACTTTCCGGTATCAGTTGTACATCGTGAAGTACTGGATATCATTATTATACACTGTTATACATTTCATGCATCCTCATCTTCAACGTCCTCGATCTGTACAGATCTGAGTTCCTGGTTGAATCGTTTCTCCTCTTCTAATAGCCGCTGTTGAGCGTCATCATCAGGTTGATCAGAGCTCTCTTGTCCTGCAGCTTCCGAAGGACCAGCATTATAACCCGCTTTCTCTAGTCGATCCATTTCCTCCGGCTCAAGTAGCTTTCCTTGCCCTCGAATGGCCTCCTGCTTAACCCTAACAGCAGCCGGAACAAATTTCTTAACCGCCTCTTGTCGCAGGTCCTTGATCTCTGGCTTCGCTTCATAAACAGTTCTGGATTCAACCACAGGCGGTTTCGCCGGTAAACCATGTGGTCCCCGAGGACCTGCATCTGCATCACCCTCTCTCTTCTTTTGGTATTGGCGAGGGATTGGTGGCGGCGTATCCCGCGGCATAGGAATTCGTCGGACTTCCTCATCCGTCTCACTACTCTCACTATCTTGTCCGAAGTGGCCACGGTCGTCCCTCCTCCTCTTCCCTAATACGGCGTCACCGCGGCCTCTGCCGCCAAAGCCACCCCTCCTCGACTGGTAATTCTCGAATTTCGGCGCCTTATCACCTAGTGCTTCCCGGGCCTTCTGTACCGCACGCAGATCCCGCTCCAATGCTTCCAAAACCTCCTTATCACGCGGCCGTAGTTGTTGGCCGGACTCTTCTACCGCTTTGAGGTCATTGATCTGCCTCTGAATGCGCTCGGGGTTGCGACGGGCGAGTTTCTCATTCTGGCGAGCCTGCGCCTCAGATTTGGCCTTTTTCAAGCTTTTCTGTTTGTCTGCTTTCCGCTGCGCTTGGACGGGGTTGAAGTTGCGTTCCTTGGGCATTTTCTTGAAGCCCTTTTTTTTTTCTCTTCTTTGCTATTTTAATAGAATCCTCTTTTTAAATGTGATGAGAAGAAGCAATAGGTCGCGGTGGACTAGGCGCGCGAATGGGACATTAATTTTATCGAACTATTGAAGCTCCACTTTTGTCAGACATGTAATGTAAGCTCTCATAGTTTCTCGTTTTCTGGGCAAAGACGAGGACTCGAGGTGGCACAGCTCTGGGGAACGACAAAAACAGCGGTAGCGAACCACGGTGGAGCAGACGAGGGAGGGGAGAGTGGAGGAAAGGCTCACCAACCGATGAGGTATCCCGCAAGATGGGTGAAAGACGAAAGTCGCAGGACTAGACCTGAGCCAGACGCGGAGCTGCCAATCCAATCACAGATCAAAGATAGCAGTCGCAGGGCTCTAGCCTCACGGGTTGGGCAGCGGGTTTTAGGTACAGAATTGGTTTCGGTTCTGGGGATCAGAGGCGACGGTGATTGATCGACTGGCGTTTGCAGAGGCCGTTGGTTGATTGCGCTATTGGCACCGTGGGTTGCCTGGTTTGTTGAAAATGTTTGGGAGTAAGATCGCGGTGAAGAGGGGAGGGAAACCTCTAAGTTTTGGAGAGGTGATTAGTATAGGAGGATTGTTTGGAGGTGGGAGCTGCTGTTGGTTTGCGGAGGAGAGGGAACTGAATGAATGGTTGGAGGGCGTCGGAAGGCGGAACCACGGTTTAGCAGTGGATTTCTTCTGTAGGGGAGATTCCTCAAGTCACATAAACTTGGTATGCTTTCTTTTTTCTCTCGCAGATGAGAGAATTGAATTATTATATTCTAAGATCCAAGATTCTAGTTTCAGTCCTTGTGCGACAATTTTTAGTCACTGTGATTTAAGTCTTCAAGTTCCATTTTATATAATGTACACCATACTCCGATCTATATCACCAAGATAATTCATACCGAGCACCAAAGAAAAGGCAAAAAGACCCTAGAAATAGGTCATAACTTTGAATTATTCTAGACATCATTTTCCGCTATATTTTATTTCCCTCAGTATCTTCCCAGGGGGGGTTCTGGCCATTGGTTGTTGTGTACCTCCAAGCTCTGCCTTGGGTACTATTTCATACCACGCTTCATACAATATATACTTGCTCTTACATACCAGTGTACAATCCTCCTTCTTCCACTTCCGTCCCCTCAACTCTCCGAGGCATTTCTAATCACACTCTTTTAGCTTCACAGTGCTCGTGTTAGTTTCTCCAAGTTAGACCAATTCCTATCGTCTCTGGGCGTCCGTCAGTGTGTAACCTGCGACCGATTCACGAGGAGAGCCGCTTGCGGTTGTTTTTCTTTTTTCCTTGCCGCCGATAATCTGTTTCCTCAATCGGCCTTCCTCTCCCATCATCCCTCTTTCGTTCCCCCTCCTCTTCGGCTTGATCCCCTCTAATTTCCCCCAATGACACCTTAGGCCTGTCGGTGAGGAGGCGATTTTTCTTGAGTTACTTCCAGAGGGGTGAGTGAGTGAGTGCGAGAGAGAGCAGGAGAGAAGAACGAATCATCGAGCGAAGCCGATTCAGTCCTTTACTCTCCTTCCCACTCTCCGTCCTAATTCCTCCTAACATTCGCTCCGGCCAACCACCATGAAATTCGGTCCGTCCCATCTCCAAACATCGAGAACGACCGGCGCTTCCTAGACTCTTGTCGCGGTAAGAGCATGTCTCTGCCGGGACCAAATGTCCGTATCAGCCTCGATCCCCGACACCTCCCTTGGCCTTACCTCCTCCGAGATCCAGATCCTCCGACAACAGCAACAGATTGCGCTTCAGGGTGGCCATGCCGCCAACGGGGTTTCCAGGGGCAGAGGAACTGGTCGAAGCAGCAATTCAAGTTCGCGTGCTGCCAGTGCTGCCAGCAGTCATGGCCGATTGTTGCTGGACCCGATGAGTCTGCGAGCGCTATCCCATCAGCTGGATGCGCTACAGGGCCAGATTCGGAGTCGCATCGACTATGTATGTTGATATTTTCCTTTGAACTCCTATTATCCCCACCCTATAAATCATCCTCCCTTCTACGTCTCCCTAGACTCCTTCATAATGATTTTGCGCATGGTTTCATACGCTATGATCTCGGGTCCCGGTTGGGAATATCCAGACGATGTTCCACAAGCCGGTCATCCTTGCATATCATCTTATCACCTGTCCTGACGCCCTGCAGCTGGAGGAACAAATGCAGCTCTCTATTCAAAATACCTACGACCGTGCAGGAAACGTTATCCACAATGCCGATGCCGAGATTGCTCGTACGCGTTCAATTCTAGCCTCAATTGATGAGTTGGAAACCGAAATGGCGAAGATTGGACATATCAGGGAGATTGTGAAAGCCTACCGCGGCCGAATTGAAGGGCTTGACCAACGTCTCGACCAGGCCGCCCGTAGGAGACGATGATGTCCACCGAGGACAATACATCTTCGATTATGAACCCGATCGTATATGCTTGGATGACGTTCACCGCTCTATACCCCGAAGCTTACCCTATTCACATATTGCCTTATACGACCTTTTGCCCCGGAGGCTCATGTACTGGAATCTGGCGACGTTGACTCGACTACCAGACGACCTCTTTGCCCGCTTTTCATGCTTTAGGATGATTATGACCGAACGCTCGAGATGATAAATGCAAGCATGACCAAACTTAAGTCACAAGAGAGAAATGAAGGAAATATTTGTTTTCTCGGCGAAAAATAAAAAAAGGAGAGGAAAGCTCCATGTTTATATACCACTCTGTCCTCGCGGACCCTGTGCAATTATGATCTGTGCCGTTATTGCAGCGTTCTTTGCCCCCTTCACCAGTTACAGCGACATTCAACCCGCAGACGTGAATCTTTCTTTGTCTCCTGTGTTCTGCTCTTTTCTTTCGCACTCTTCTCGTTTCGTTCCTTTATTCCCCCCCCATTTTTGTTTGGGACAGGATAGTTACTTAAAGATGGGATATCTGCCTCGCGGCAACCTTTGGACCTTTTGGAGGTACCATGAACCGAGATTCGACAGGAAACAACATTGGTGTTTTAGCGAAGGAGTTCCCTCGTTGGTACCATTTTCTTTGTTCTATATTTAAATATTTTCGATGGGCTGTTTACATGTCACGAGAACCACACCTTTCACCTTTTGAAGTTGGATTTGTCGTCTATTATCTGGCGTCTCGATTCCCCAATATGTATTGTTCTCTTTATGTGTCTTTATGAGTGGACGTTTGATCTATGACCATGTTGTGAATAAACCCACGGCTGATCGTGCCCTGTCGCACAGATGGCTTATGTACAAATGTAATGAATAAGGCCGGTTGCGTCATGACATTTTTCTATTCGAACATGTGCATTTGTGGTCTCAGGACTTCGACTGTAGAATACCTGCAATCATCTCCGATTGCTCTATATCGACGAATCCTGTTTTCGCCCTGGATAGCATGTGGACCGACCAGAGTTGCACGTGAAGTCTCGGGGCCCTGCTAAGGGGTCATGGCTTTTCCGTCGACAACCGCAAATTACCTGCAGGGTTTTTCGTAGCCTTTCCGATCGACAACCACAACTCGCCCTCTAGTTAGTATAGCCCGCGGCATCTCACATCCCGCCTTTAGCTCTATTGGACGACTCCCATACCTAGCGCCCTGCCGTGGCAACTGATCCAAATGAATAGATAATTGCTGCTGAATCTGGACAGGTAGCCTTGCTTCATCAATGGAACGGTTGCATGAGGCTCGGCCTTGTTTCCTTTCAAGGCGCCAGCCGACGGACAAATGATGGTTTACCGGGTATTGATAGGGTTCATTGTATGTACCATAGCCCCCATACGGTGTTCCTTCTTGGTGCGCTTTAATGTGGTAGTGCACCGTCTCAATAACCAATTGCTACTGTCCCACGCAGTCCACGTTGTTGCGAAATGACAAAAACAGTACAGGAACAGCAAAAAAGGTCATGGAGCTGGCACTTGTTCCTTCTCCTGTTCTCTTTGCTTTCGACGCTCAGAAAGCTTTTTGGTTCGCCTTTCTGTTAGAGGAAAATGCTTCTCCGTCCCACAGGTAGTGCAACAGATGACCCGGACGTCGGCCCATGGCTTTTTGCGATCACGACTCTCGTTTCTGATTTCTTGTATGCAGCTGACACCTGGCGACAAAAGTGTATCGCAGCGTTTGCAGTATGACCTTTTCGTCTCGACTGGCAGTCGCATCTGTGTTTTTAGAGACACTCCACGCATTTGTGATATAAATACGCGAGAGAGCTGCGGAAGACGATCTGTATTTGCGCTGGTGTGCGTGCCAGTTGACTTTTGCCCAGGAGTAGTATCATGGCTCAAGAAAAGTGGTACAATACGTGCTGAAGCCGACCCTGGCTCGCCGTCTTGACTGGTACCATTCTGAACGAGCTGGCTACTAGATTGCTTGGAGGCAACACCAGCAGACTGTAGATAGATAGCGGCCTTATGGAGATAGTCTAATCGTGCACGGATATGACTCTGCGCTCCCCCAGACGAACCCTTTTTCCCCTTTGCCTTCGCCATTCCAGAAGAGAAAACCTTTAGACTGGTTTAAAATAACAACACATAAAGAAAAATAAAGAATAATGAAGCTTTCAGTGGCAATCGGACGCTAAACTAGAACCAGCAACTTGGCAGGCCAGCGTGACTAATGATATATATCACGTGATGCGGTCTTTCTGTCCTCAGCCTCATCCCTCGCGACCTCAACCTTCTCTTCATCTCCATCGTTTTCCCTTACCTTTCAACCAAGACCCGCTTTTCAATTCATCCCAGAAGGATCGGAAAGGGGCATTACGTTGTGTTTACGATTGACTCACTGTATTTGTTTTATTTTTCACCACCTCCACTCACCCATACCGTAAATTTCCCAGCTCGGCTGCCTTGGGGAAGAACGCGACCTCGCGACAACTAGGGGTTTTTTTTTTTTTTTTTTCCAACACTTTCCGTTCCGTTGCTATCCAACAAAATGTCTCACGAGGAGGATCTCATTGACTACTCCGACGAGGAGCTTCAGACCACTGATGCCGCAGCTACCACTGCTGCTCCCGCCGCAAATGGCGACAACGCCAAAACGGGCGATCTAACAGTTTCTGGTGGCCGTCCGGACAAGAAGGGAAGCTATGTCGGTATTCACTCGACCGGTTTCCGCGACTTTTTGCTGAAGGGAGAACTTCTACGTGCCATCACCGATTGCGGTTTCGAACATCCATCGGAGGGTTAGTTGATAACATTCTTTCCCACAAGCTCCCTCCATTGCTCTATGTTCCAACGTCCGTCCATCTCCGCGGGAGTCCATAGTCGCTTTTTATTGGCCACCTATCTCGTCCGAGCCTGTGGGCGGCATGAGGATGTTTGCTTGGGTTATTACACACAAGACACTGCGGTGGCAGTAGTGCTTTTACAGTTACTACCCGCTGCTTATACATCAGCGAATTACGGTGAGACTGGATTCGCGAATCATCCAGGTAAATGCGTTTTCAGCAAGAATGGGTGATTTGCGAAAGATGCTATCCGAAAGCCATGGGCCTCTTGCCACCATATCTTTGGATGGCAGGCGTTCTCGTGCCGTCTGCAGGGCACTCTCGATAGAGATATTATCCTGCAGTTGAATAGATGCCCGACTAGTGCTTTCATTAGTAGTTGATTATGAAACGAAAGTTGACATCACTGCCTGCCTTATTCGACGACTCGGGGGATGGACGGACTTGCGACGCGGATTGCTTTCTTTTTTCCAAAGTCTTATGGATCGAATACAAGTCTAACATACCGTTCCGCCTCACTATAGTCCAGCAAGTTTGCATTCCGACCGCCATTCTCAATGTCGATGTTCTTTGCCAGGCAAAGTCTGGTCTCGGAAAAACCGCCGTCTTCGTCTTGACCACCCTTCACCAGCTGGAGCCTGTCCCCGGAGAGTGCTCTGTCTTGGTCATGTGCCACACCCGTGAGTTGGCTTACCAGATTAAGAACGAATATGCTCGTTTCAGCAAGTACCTTCCCGACGTGAAGACTGCCGTCTTCTACGGAGGTACCCCCATCCAGAAGGATGTCGAGGTGCTATCCAACAAAGAATCATACCCCAACATTGTCGTCGGTACCCCGGGTCGACTGAACGCCCTTGTTCGCGAGAAAAAGCTTTCCCTGCGTAATGTTAAGGCATTTGTCCTTGACGAGTGTGACAAGATGCTCGACCAGATCGGTGAGTGAAAGCATCAATGTATTGTTTTAGAGTCGGTGACTCACAATCTTGCCAGATATGCGCCGCGATGTTCAGGAGATTTTCCGTGCTACACCCGCCGACAAGCAAGTTATGATGTTCAGCGCTACTCTCTCCCAGGAGATCCGGCCTGTTTGCAAGAAGTTCATGAGGAACCCTCTTGAAGTTTACGTGGACGACGACACCAAACTCACCCTCCACGGTTTGCAACAATACTACATCAAACTCAGCGAAGCGGAAAAGAACCGGAAGCTGAACGAGCTCCTGGATAGCCTTGAGTTCAACCAGGTCATTATCTTCGTCAAGAGCACACTTCGTGCAAATGAGCTGGACAAGCTCTTGCGCGAGTGTAACTTCCCCAGTATCGCTGTCCACTCTGGTGTGAGCCAGGAGGAGCGGTAAGTTTGTCGCATTGCTTAAACAATGCAATCCTGTTGCTGACGCGGCATATTAGTATCAAACGCTACAAGGAGTTCAAGGAGTTCAACAAGCGTATCTGTGTTGCTACTGATGTCTTTGGACGTGGTATTGATATTGAGCGTATCAACCTTGCTATTAACTACGACTTGCCTGCGGATGCGGACTCGTACCTGCACCGCGTTGGTCGTGCCGGTCGTTTCGGTACCAAGGGTCTCTCGATCTCGTTCGTCAGCAACGAGGAGGATGAGAAGGTCCTCAAGGATATCGAGAAGCGTTTCGAAGTTGCTCTTCCGTACGTGACCCATCTTTCCTTCTTTCCCTCATCTTTTGTACCCGGAACTAATGGCATATATACAGTGAATACCCCGAGGGTGGCGTTGACTCTAGCACGTACATGGCATAAATGCCCTGGCTGTCAATACACCGTGCCTGGTGCGATTCGATATTTTGTCATTTTCTAACTTGATGCCTTTTTCTTTACTTGTTTGATCTTTTGGCGCGATGGTTCGGTTGTGATTTTGTTTCCGTCAAGTGTCTTTGCTGCTTCTCCATGAGGCACTGGTCGGCAGGATGGGAAAGAATGGGGGAAAAGCATACACAGTCATGTTTAATCACTAGGTAGGAGCTTTAGATGACATTTAGGGTGGTGCCAGTGCCTCTGCTAGGGTGTCAACTGTATTATCTATAAATCTCAAATGCTGTTTCCCGGGTCAATTTAATTGTGGGGATAGTAAATTACGTAGCTGTACTTGTGCGAGAGCTACCCCGAGGTGCCAGCCGGGGTAATAATATCATAGTTATACGCGATTAAGTAACTCAGACCAGAATTGCGGGTGACCCCGGAAGCGTGTCAGAAGTTGAGCTTGGTTGAGAGAGTGGGATCGGCAGATAGCAAAACAAGGCAGAGGGCGACTAGAGCAGTTGACGGCCAGTGTACTAGGTTGGTGGTCCCTGCTCGCCGAAAGGTACGTACCTTGATTTCCCGTCAAGCTAACCCAACGTTCCATGGATATCGTTGTTTGCGGTTAATTTGCTCATTCCTGTTGAACTGTTTCCTTGATCCACGTAAATCAAAGTGGAACGGAGAAGTACTGTGTATATCTAGACTCTGGGCCGTCCTGTGAATCCGGCCAACCGCCAAGACACTGATCAACCAAAAAAAAGAAAAGAGAAACATTTCATCATCTGATATAGACACGGATAGACAATTGATAGTCATTGATTGACGACTGATGGACGTTCCCATCAATCAATCAGTCAATGCCATTCTCCCACCTGACGGAACCGGGTTGCGCTCACGCGTACCACTTTACCAAGACTTACCTTACCCATGACGGTGGAGTCAATCTTCATTTCGCCCGCAGAAGTAGCGTCGTGCAGAGTGGCGGTGCTACGCTGATACCTTACCTTCTAGACTATGATATTCACGGAAGCGAGACTCCACGATTCGACTAAGCTTTGCTGAACGCCATTGACGATCATTGAGTGCCACGGCTTGGGGGACTTGCGGGGGAATATCAGAGACAATTTATCAGGGCGATGGACGGATGATTTCATTATTATGACATATTGGGGGGGCACGTTTGGATTTGTGTGATTTGAACTCTGAAATGATTGAGAGGATTGGATAGGAGAGGTTTTGGGTTTGAGTGTTGCTTTTTTATTTTTATTTTTATTATTATGATTATGATTATGGTTATGATTATTATTATTATTATTATTGTTGTTATTATTATTGTTATTATTATTATTTTGTATGACAGGTCGAGAAGCGGATGATGGAGACATCAGAAAATATTAAAATTAAATAGCACCATTAGGTTGCGGCTGAGGTTTGCACAGTTTTTTCTCTTTGGAGTGGGGTCGTTTTCTTTGCTTCTCTTTTTTTTTTCTCTCTGGTGTCATGACTCGGGAAGGTTCCAAGTCTCCTTTTCTCTTTTCCTCTTCCTCCTCCGATCAGGTGGTAATGGTCGCTTTCAGAGCTGGTCCAGTGTATCTCGTCCTCTTCGGGACCTCTTACTCTTATCTATTCTTTTGGATGTACTACTTCAAGATTGACTAACCTCAAAGTGGCAATTGTTCCCGCCGCTTTTGGAGGATCTTTTTTGCATCGGCACGACCGTGTGTGGCTTGACTCGATTCCGCCCGCTCCCTACTAGTAGTTCTCACTACTCACTATACTACTAGTAGCCCACCAGATAGAAGCCTGAGACATGGCGTTGACTGTGTAACCGTCATATATGTCGGGTCTTATGTGCATGGGGTTGTTGCATACGGATGTAACCAGGAGCCGGGCACTTTTTTGAATTCAACGGACGTACTGCTCCTGTCTCTAGTATAGAGTACCTTGTACATACATACCTAGTCTTGTCTGCCTGGGAGAAAATTAGGCAGTTTTGGGAGTCACGGACTCGATCGATCGGGTGCGGATTGATGTGGGGCTGCACCAATGCTTACCCAGTCTTCGCGACCAAAAGTTCGTCGCTTATATCCCACTGCTGAGGTGGCCTACGACGTACGCTGTATGGACATCTCCCTCTCTGGCCTGAGGAAGCGATGGATTGTTAGATAGAAAGGGGATGTTGAACCCGGTGGCGGTCGGCATTGTTGGAGTTCGCCGAACGCAGATAGCGCGGGAGTACTCCCGATTCGGCCGTCATTTTGTGAATTGCATAAAAACTGACTTATACGAGACGTTGTTTATGCACAGTCCCTTTCATTGACAGGTTTCTGGAAGATATGCGACGCTGCAACCATCATATCATGTCTGCCCGCAACCGGACATTCTTCAGCTCTCGATACTTTCCCTTTTCACAAGCAAGGGCAACGTCGAGGAAAATCTCATTCAGCTATTATTGGAAGATTCGATATGTACCTGACCCACTGGATAGTACCATAGATAGAAACATGAGCTAAAGAGAGTGGGATGTGATTTGTTCTACTGGGTAACTAAGAGTACACACTAGATTCCGCCAAGATTGGGGACCCACGGCCGATGTTTTGAACAATCGGCGTGATCGGCGTCGCCAAAGGCCTGGACCATGGTTTCCGAGTTGTTTTGGATCTTTTTCCCTTCTTCGCTCGTTTGCTTCTTTTCTTCTGTTCATCCGTTGTATGATGATGAGGTCATGGATTGCGTACGGGACTGTTCCTTGGGGGGGGATGTTGATAGTCTGAAGGTTGACAGGGACAACAAGTCTTCTGTCAATTGGATGGGGAATGTTCAGATTTGAAATGATAAATACCAAGCGTCTTGACCTTACACCACTGGAATCCTCCGCACATTCATAGGACCTCCAATGGGGATCGTCACGATCATACTTATGTAAGTCGACTGGATTGATTATTAACTGACGCCCCCGTCTTCCACCATTGTTTCAATTAATCGCAAACCTAGCAAAGAAGAAACCACCCCCCATGCAAAAGATCCGAAACGAGCCCTTAGCTTAGTTGCCTTGGGTTTTGTCCGGTTGTCTGCCCCGTCGTTGCCTCAGTTCTAATCCCACTTCAAACAATGGCCTTTGATCGCCAAACAATACCCGGACCACATGGGGGCTCTCCATGCGCTCGTTTTCATTCAGAAGTTTATCTAAAAGTTCTTTGGTACAGTACCTGGCAGAATGTACCTAACATGCATCCCTGCACTGCAGCCCGTAAATAGGAAGGCCATGAAGAGTGGTCTAGACTAGAAGAAGTAGTTACTTGAATGGTAGGTTGTCACTGCAAGCGGCTTAGTTATACCTTATGGCCTTAGTAATCGGACCCTGGAATTTGTCGATCGATCCCTGCTCCGGTGGTGAGCTTATTGGTATGTCGGAAGGAAACAACACCGCCTCCCCCTTCCCGAAAGTGTGATGTCCGATCTGGGACAGGATATCCCTTCTTCCCATGGTTGAGGATTGAGATTAGGTTAGAGAGTAGGTCTTGTTGAAGAGGAGTTAGCTGGTGTTGTGACCCCTCTCTTGATTCAGAAATCCCATCACTAAAACAGGGCCAAAAAAAAAAAAGGAAAGAAACAGTGTACGATGATAGCCACATTGCCCATGAGAGGGCACGGGATCTATCATGCTGAGCCTTTGTCACACGAAGAACCGGCTTCATGCGCATGGGTCGTTTCTTCTGAAGGGCTTTTGACTGGGTAATTTTTTTCCTGGAGGGTGACACTTCCGGCGTCCGTGGCTTCTTTGTTTCAGTGATTCCAGTTCAACCTCCCAGGAGGATTGTTGCTGGTCTGCATGACCGAAGCTGATGGCCCCGAGGAGTATATCTTAGAAAAATGAGCAGATGGGAAGTAAAAGATGGAGAAGGAGGAGAGTGTTTATATTATGTCTACAGAGGCAAATGTCTTAGAACGAGGTGGATATCACCGTATGAACGACTCCGTTAGTTCCTTTTGTTCGTATCGTTCTCCTGTGTTGGACATTAGGGTGATTCTAGCTCGTTACTAGAACCAGGTTAGTTATTAGCGCTATCATGGACTAAGCGCAAGAAAGTACTTAGTGCTGGGAAAGCACATCCATAATCTAGTTCCGACTAGTCGATGAGGTTCTCCATCGACCTCCGCAAGAGGCCAATCCGATGTCGCCGGGTCCGATTACAAGCGGTGCTATCCCGGTTTTCTGACCTCGACCATCCAACAAACGATGTGGGTTGGAGTGGGGATTCTCGACGGGAGGATGTGCAGCTGCGGTCGATTGGGTGATTACTGCATCATGGTTGGCTTGAGTGGGTGTTGTCGTGTCTCATGAATCATCCACTCTAATAATTTTTCTGTTTTCTATTTTTCATTTCGGTCTTGATTAAGGTGATGACGCTGGTGATGATGTCGCTCCGTCCTCCGGAAGGTCTAGTGAGGTGTACTACTTGTATCTACCTATCTCTGTCTGGGACTAAAGTAATATTAAAATTGTGGGTATAGATTTAAGCAGAAGGAAATCGAAAGGAAAATAATAATAATAACAATAAAAAAAAATATAAAAATAAGAGGGCATTTATTGATTGATTTCTATTATTATGTACATAATAATATATTTGTTTATAGTGTGAGTTGTGTTTAATTAGGTAAGGATTAAGAGGAACTGGAACCCAGAAAAAGAACAGGGGGAGTTGCCATACAATTGTTGGGAGTAGCCATGGTCCTCAGAAATCATCGTCCCCGTTTCGCCTCCTAAATAAGATTAAAAATAAACGGGATTTTTTTTTTTTTCTTTTTCGAACTTATCTTAACGGAATTAACAGAAGAATTGACTTCGGTGTGTGTATGGGATTCGACATTTTTTGAATTTTAGTTTATTGTTTTATTATTATTCTTTTTATTTTTCTTTCCTTATCATTCATTCCTCAGATCTCTTTTTTTTATTTTTTTTATTTTTTTTTTACCTTTCATAGTAAGGAAACTGTTTTCGCTATTCTCCCCCTCTCCGTTGACAGTCATTTCGTCTCCCCTGCACTCCGTTTCCGGTTCGAGCCCTGGCGGGGGATCCACGACCGTTTAAGCCTGGTCATTGTAAAGAAAACTAAGATTGTAAAAAAAAAAGAGGAAAATACGAAAAGAGAGTAAGAAAAAAAAAAAAAAAAAAGAGATAACTTTACAGATTCTGCTCCATAGGCTTACTTTCGGGCTGCCTTTCCGCCCAAAGCTGGCACATCTGCTTTCCAGCAACTCTCTTCATCGATTTACTTACTACTATACTCCTACTATTCTCCATCCGTCATCTCTCGCGTCCTCCTCTTTTCCTTTTTCCCTTCCCTCATCCCCTTTCACTATACTGTCTTGTCTTTCTCTCCTTCTCTCCCTACGATTAATTCCTCCTTTCGTTTGGTCCCTTTCCTCAATCCCTTTACCCATTTTTAATCGTCCTTTGGTGATTCCCCTTACTTTCGTTTTCTTTGGTCCTTTTCATAATCCGTTGTTTTAATCGTCACGAAATCGCCCTGGCTTCGGTCGTGATATTGCGTTCTTTCGTCCCGTGGTAGGCAGCGTCAATCGCGCCTCCAGTCGTTGTCCTGGAGTTTCGTCTCCCTGCTATCCTCTGTCCATCGCCTTTTTTTTCAATCGTGGACTAGCGGGAGAGCTTCCTTCCATTTTTGATCGCTAATTATGGCTCCTCCGCCGCGCTTGCGCATTTTATCAGGTTCGTACTCGCACTGCCCCGGCAAGACTGTTCCAATTTACCTTTTGAAGACAAATTCCCTGTCATTCCCTAAATGGGCTTTTGTTGCAACCCAGATCACCTTTCAGAGTACCCAGAATGGGCCGTCATCTAACTAGACTCTGTTTAGTCGGCAGCAATGCTATCTCGGCCTTCCTCTCGTGGAGACTTCAGGCGACGACCTCCTGCGACGTGACACTAGTGTGGAAATCGGGCTATGAGTCGGTATCTCAATATGGAGTATCCTTCAAGTATGTCACTCTTAAATCTACGGTTTTTGGAGTAATTCGTTGATAAACGGTGATTTAGGTCGAAAGCTTTCGGTAATGAGCGCTTCAAGCCTCGTCATGGTGAGTCGGATTGTTGGTCCTTGCTACGTACGGTCTGTATTCTTTATTCAGACACTAAATGTGAGTTCTTCTATACAGTTGTCCGCACACCCGAAGATGCCGCATCTCGCGAGAACGCATTTGACTACGTCATTCTGTGTGTCAAGGCACTGCCAGATGTCTACGACCTGGCTTCAGTCATCGAATCCGTCGTCACTCCTCAACATACGTGTATCCTCGTGAACACAACGAACACATTGGGAGTAGAATCACACCTAGAGCAGCGGTTTCCTACAAACGTCGTCCTTTCGCTTGTGTCTGGGGTGGAGATTTCTCAGATTGGTGCCAGCGAGTTCGAGCATCTAAACTCATCGGAGATTTGGGTTGGTGCCACAAGCAAGCAAACCAGCATTCCTTCTACAATTCAGAATGATATGGCTGCTGCACTGGCGATGACACTGGCTTCTGGCCAAGTGGACTGCAAAGTATCAGATAATATCAGACAGGAGCAATTCGATCGTATGATAGGGTGAGTCGCGAGAGAAGTCTACTCTCCAAGACCGAGTCTGACTAACCGTGATGCTACAGCCCTATTGCTTTCTACCCCACTAGTGTAATGTTTGAAACCTCCAACCACACACAACTTCTCGAGAAGGTCGGCGTACGCCAACTTGTCTCAGACATCATTGAGGAGCTCCTCGAGCTTGCGCGTGCGAACGGCTGCTCTTTTCCGAATGACTTTGCTAAGAAGACGATTGAAACGATGACCGCCAATAGTGCACCAAGTACGATGTATCAGGACTTCCAAGCCCGCCGTCCAATGGAAATTGAGACATATCTCGGATCTCCAATCAAATTGGCGACTGAATCAGGTGTCCGTATCCCTCGGATTGAGACTCTCTACGCAGTGCTTCATCATGTCAATGCCACGAACTTGAGTAAGCCCCGGACCAACGAATCTCCTCCACCTGTGCTGGCTCAACCGCCACCTCGGATGTCTTCGGCACCGCCGAGAGGACCGATGAATGGCCCTATGCGTGGAGGCAGGGCTCCTTCTGGCATGATGCCTAGACGTGGGCCACCACCCCACCCAGGAATGTCAAGACCCCCGAGCGCACAGCCGCAAATGGCCAGGATGCCTCCTCGTGACCCTTCATTGGAAGGTCTTGAGGAGTTCAGCCACCTCGTCATGTACGATGATGCTGCCACAGCCGCAGCTGTGGCTGCAGAGAATGGCGTACCGCCTCAGAACGGCACTAACGGCTATCCGGATATGCCGCCCGGGCCTCCATCTTCCGCAGCTGAGTTGGCTTTGAGGGAACGAGAACTGGCGATCCGACAGCGTGAGTTGCAGATCAGAGAACAGGAGATGGGTATGCGTCGAGGTCCCCGGCGACCACCTCCACCCCCGAGATCGACATTTGATGAAGAGGACGAGGATGACTATTTCGATCCAATGGATACTTTGCCGATCCCATCAATCGATCCGGACCAAGTGGACATGTTGAGTATCACATCGAGACGGACGAAGAAATCAGCCCCCAGTGCCAGTCAGCTCCGTAAGAACCCAGAAATCACTTTAAATAATGGCGGCGGCGGCGGCGGCGGTAGCAGGCCCGGGTCGTCCTTTAGCCGGTACTTCGGAGGAAGGAAACGTACCAGCGATCGGATCATGCAGGAAATCCCTGGCCTTCATGATTCTCTCATGGACAATCCTATGATGGCGTACGCATCGAATCGATATGGAGCGGTCGACAGAAACCACATTCAGGCAGGGTCGCGTGCTAATTCACTGACGGCCAGTCGAATGGGTGACTACCCACCACATCCTTACCCAACCAGTAGGAGGAACAGCCAGTCTCCGGCAACTCCTCCCTACGGTCCGCCTGGCCCTCGAATGGGCCGACAAGGAACATCCCAAGATCCAAGCCTAGGCCCACCGAACGGCCCTCGCGGCGGCCAACCGTCGCCGCCCGGACAAATGCGGGCGCCAGTCCCCAGACATCCGCCTGGACAAGGTAATGCGGTAGGTCCGCAGCAAATTGAGCAACAATATGGGGTGAGCAATTCGTCTTTAGCCAAGGGCACTCCCAAGCATAGAAGTCTGACCGGAAGTGCGAGCGCCAGCGCGGAGAGTGGTGATAGTGGGGCCAGTGCGAATCTTGATTCCGAAACCTCAGCCCATAGCAGCCAAATCAGCTTGAATGCTCACCAAGCTGCGACGCCCGTTCGTTGATCGACGCAGCCCGCCGTCCTCCGGTTTCCCCCCCCTTTTCATAAAAGCTGAGCTTTAGAACCCTGTTCTATACGTACTCATCTGGTTACTTCGCGTTCCATTCTTTCCTCCCCTGGCCGGAAGACGCTGCCCGTGGGGGTCCCCTTTGGCTTTGTACAAGAATCTCTTTTTAAAAAGATGCTTGGCAAGGGGGGCAGGAGCGGACTCAAGACCTTATATTCTCGTTCAGTTCATTACATATACACCGAGGGACATACGGGACATCTTCTCGTTTTATGCTACTACTTTGGAGTGGTCGGGCGCGTGTTGCATGTGGTCATTTGCTTTCACTTTACTTTCCTTACCTTTTTTTTGAGCACTCTCTATTTTAATGAAGGCGAGCACACAGCTCGATCCGACAAGTATGATTTGACTTCTCGCAATTATACCACAAACATCCATCTCCAGTCACCCACGACTATCTCATTTCCTTTTTTTTTTTTTTTTTCGTGCATGAAAGAATGTTGTACACTACCATTAGTGGGCGCCTCATTTCGTTGTATCTCCTACACTAACATCTCCACTGTGTTGTGACATGCATGCCCTCCTTTGACACATTTCCTTTTTCCTTACTTCGTTTTCCTCTATTCCCTTTTCCTCAGCCATTCTGTCTGCTTTTATTATGGGCTCTGGTGTGGAGTATCCTAGTAGCCCCGAAATCTCTACGTTCATGGTCTGGTTTCTGGCGCACAAAAAGAGCAGGAGTCTGATTTATTCGGTTGATTGAGTGATCTGAATTGGCTGGGTTCGTGTTCTTGCAAGATATTGACGAGAGAGCCGAGCTGAAGTCTTGACACGGACGCTATCATTCGATTAGGACCATGTCATTGACAATAAACGAGACTTGAAGTTCGCATGATAACATAGACGGTGATCCTGCCATGTCATGACGAGAGTGTTTTAAATGATCCAAACGTTTGCATAACAAAAACAAAGACGACTGTCTAATGTATAGTCGATTATATGGTGTTGTATATGCACAACCGAGCATGATATAGATTAATTGTTCAGCTCATGATTGGGGGAGTTCAGTTTCCGGTCCCCCCACGTGACTGATGTGGATTTAATCCCTAAAGCGACGCCACACCGAGTGTAAACAAACTTGACCCATTTCCTTTCACATCGTTTCACTTTTCAGGTTAAACCAAGAAAAGGCACAGGCTTTGCGCACGGATATAATAAACGAGCACGTACAAGAATTCAGCGGACAAACTAAGATCTTGAGCAAAATGCCACCTTCTCACCACTATAGCCAATCCCAAAACCTCCCCCGCCATTCCATTCTTCCCCCGTCTTCGACCACCGCCGGTCCTTCATCGATGTCCGCCGCTAAGACTCGGCAGTATGCGAACCTGCAGGCTCAGTTGGAGCAGCTGAACGCCAATCTGGCGGACACACAAAACCTGCTCCGTATGACTTCTGTGCAGGCAGAGGATATGCGGTTCCTGGGCGGTTATGTTGGAGCTCTGTTTATGGGATCGGCCAAGGTGTTGGGAGAGGAGGGTGTCAAGGGTAATGCGGATAAGAAGGAAAGTGAATCGTGATTGATGAGTACTTTGGTTTAGTGGAGTGCATGAGTAAGTTTATCTTTCCTCTTTCTCTTTATTGAAAGTCATTTATATCAACCTGTCTATCTATCCGTCCGAATTACGCCTCTATTCTAATTACTGATTGATGGCTTGGATAGGTTATCCTCGAGGGGGTCATCCAATACACAGTAACACCGATAGATACCACGCCCATTAATTCTCGACCACAAAACCGCCTCCGAGGATAATCGCCGGTTCCTCGATATTATGATGTTCGTAACTGGGCCGGTTAGCGCAGCTCGTGGCACCGCAATGGGGGTTCTCTCTTCTCACCTCAATGTGCCCACACCTCCAGCTTCCAGAATCAGCGCGGTCTCGGTTAACGGCTTCCCGGTCCAGCGCATGGCAAAAGCCCGTAGGATATGACCGTGTGCGACAATCAGGACGTCTCCTTGCTCACTGTCACCGTCGAAACAAGGACTGTGGAACTTCTTCCTGATATCGGCGATTAGGGCATCGAGACGACGGACGACGTCTTCGGGGGATCTGATTGTGACATTGTCAGTTAGCGAATAATGTATATATATATATATACATACATGCAACAGCGACCAATCCTCTTCCTTCATTCCAAAACACAAGAGAAATAAAAAGGAAGGAGGAGGGGGGGTTTAAAGGAATAGAAAAGAAGAACAGAACTTACTCTCCACCAGGACAGCCATCCCTCCAGATATCCCAAGGCTCTTCCCCATTCTCCTTCCTCATCTCCCTAATTTGCTTGCTCGTCAACCCCTCATAATCCCCATAATCCCACTCCCTCACTGCCTCTGTAATCTCAACCTTGGCCTCCGTCCGAATCGGCTCCTCATCCTCACTCTTCCGGGCCTCATTCCACGGTAATCTCTCCCGACACCCAATCTCAAGTAACTCCAGCGTCCGCTGCGCTCGCGCCCGCGGCGAGACATACCTAATTTTATCAATCACATTAACTCAACCCCAATAATCAATTAACCCAACAAAACAACAAAAACAATAAAGCAAGAGAAACGGGAGAAAATGAGAAGCGAAGAAAAGGGGAAAAAAAAAAAAAGCATACACATGAACCAATTTCCTCGGCGCAATCAACCGATCATTACCAACCAGAGCTTTTCCAGTTGCTTTGACTCGTTTCTCACCGTTAGGTGTGAGGGCAAGATCCGTGAGGCCTGTGTGTCGGCCGTTGAGGGACCATTCGGTTTCGCCGTGTCGGATTATGAAGCATCTTGGGACCATTTTTTTTTTCCTTTTCTTTTCGATCTTGGGGTGAGCAGGGGATGTACTGTATGTATAGTAGTATTAAATTTAATCTAGAGTTCTGAGGTGTAGGGTAGGGGATGTTATTATGTTGGATTGGGGTTGTTGGAGGGTAGGGTAGGTAGAGGAGGTACTAGGGCTTGGTGGGGGTTATTGCGTCATGGATCGGGGTTGCTAGTAACTGGGTGGGGCGCTTTTGGGCTTGGGTGTTGTTTGGCTAAGCATTTGTATATCATTTTGTTGTGGTTTTTTTTGGGGGGGGGGGTTGTAGGGGATTGATTTGTAATTGAGGGATTTATATATGGTTTTTGTATTTATTTTTATTTTTATTTTATTATATTTCAATTTTTTTTTTATGTGGAGAAGTAGATGAGTGTGAGAATGATGTGAGTGGCTGTACTGGATGTCTCATGAGGGGAGATACATTCATTGGTGCTTGGTATAAGATTTTTCTTTTAGGGTTATTTGAATATAAATTGTAAGGTTTGGGGTTTGAGAATGTATGCATTCGTAGATTTGATGATGGTAATGGGATATGAACAATTGATTGACATATTTATCATAATAGAAAATCTATACCTGATCAATTAAGACCCCCTTCTTCACCTCAAACTCATCCACACTCTTGAGCGCCTTCTTCACCGTCCCCACAATCTGCCTCGAATCCTCAAGCCCAACGCTAATCCGAATAATATGCCTCGGCACCCCGTGCTTCGCAACCTTATCTTGATTCCAGTAATTGGCTAGTTGGACATACGGAATAGCCAACGTGAAGTTCGTCCCGAAGCTGGACCCCTTGCAGACGTTGAAGACGTTATAGAAGTGCTCTGCTGTGCGCGGATCATGGAAGACAATGCTCAGAACGTTGCCGTAGCCGCCGTCCTTGCGCATCACGCTCTTGTACAAGGCTGACGTTGGCGCGATGGACGGGTGGTTTACTTCGGCGATGGCGGGGTGGGCTTTGAAGAGCTCGACGAATGGAAGCGTGTTCTGGTTGCAGTGCTTCACGCGCCAGACAATGTTCTTGCTGTTTTGTTTGAGTGTGTCCAAGTCAAGTGGGAAATAGGTGTCTTGGTTCTTGGATAAGGCGGCGTGGATATGGTCGTGGTGCCGGGAGGTGGGGTTTATTACAAGACTGCGGTAGATGGTTAATTAGGGGGTTGAGGTAAATGGTTTAATGGTCTAGGTATATGAGCTGGACTTACCCTCCACCGGTGACGTTTGATGCTCCGCTGAATGTCTTCGTAAGACTGGACATCATGGCGTCTACATAAGGAAGGGCATCGATGTTGACATAGCCGGCAACGGTGTCGTCACAGGCGACAACGAAGCCGTATTGATCTGCCAGTGCGCGAATGCGACGGAGATTGGGTGATGCCAATGTGATGTTGCTGGGCAGTTCACAGAACAATGCTCGGATCTGTTGGCCTGATTGCAGGAGGGCCTCCAAGCGATCCAACTCTTCCTCTGTGCCGTATTTGTAGGAGAGACACTCTGCCCATGTACCGCGTCGGACGACGTCGACTGTTTCTGGGTATAACCATCTATGAAGTGTCTCGTTAAAATTGCTTGGGATGGCATCGCGTCAAAGTCCATGAGAGACACTTACCCGTACATAGCAACCTTGTATTTTGGTGAAGCTAGAGCATCCGAAAGCGTGTATATAGCGTTCATTCCGGTAGGATACAGGAACACATCGTCTGGGCTCACAGTTGGCTGTCCCGGCTGCTCAGACGTGGCAATGCTGGCAAGGAATGATTTCACCTCGTGCGAGTTTCCAGCTGCGGCTCGCATCCATGTAAGATATACCGGGGTCTCGCTCCGACATCTCTTCCGCGAAGCTGGGGTTCGGTATGCCGGAGTCGCAGAGTCAGAGTCAAGATAGTCGAACTCTTCCAGACAGAACTCTGCATGACGTGTTGATAATCCTGAGCCGGTATCCCGCCAGAATGCCATGGCCGCCTTCAACAGATCAGATGGGTATAAGACTGCAGTGAAGTTGGCCCAGTGGGCACTGGTGTCTCCCAGATTTGACTCCAGAGGCATGACAAATCGAACTACTTCGATTGTAAACGGATTCTCGGGGGGTAATGTCTTGAGTATTGTGGCGCATTGGTGTCCAGCAGCACCAGACGAGAATACCATGCAGGAGATTGTGGTATCATTGATCTGGAGTCGGCGGAGAACTGTATCAGAGAGGTCGCGAATGGGCCTGTTAAGATAGAATCTTGATTCCTTAGATGAGAACGCTCCTATCAGAGTGAGAACATGGAACTTACCGTGGATAGCTCCATTCAAGTTGGTCCAAGAGCCATTTCTCTTTTCGAGACAATCCAAGCACTGAGTCCCATGTTGGTAGAGATACGCTAACGGCCTGGTTAGGGTCAGTATCTGCTTTATCAAAATGAGTTAAGGGATAACTTGCATGCGGCTCCCCGAAGGGATATATGTTGCCTTTACCAGGAGGAAATGCCTGTGGTGCCTGGGGAGGCATCCAAGGCTCAAGGATCGGGCCATTTTCTCCCATGGTTAAATGTCTTCGGCTTCTTGTTGGTGGTGGCAGAGATTCAAGGTCAACACAGCAAGCCCGGCATCAGCTGTAGGCTCAATTGCAGTGAGAAAGTGGATGAACGACAGCACCCAGGATAGGCCTCCCTCTACCTAAGTACATTCTACCTTACCGCCGGGTGTAAACTCCCACAGCACATACCTCATCCCAGCCATTGAGTCAACGAGAAACTGCAAGCTGCAGCCAATAATGGTTGATCCAATCGCAGGAAGCACCCCTCATCAAGAAAGTCAATCCCGTAGTAAACAGATCTACTACGGTACCCTGGAAGTCTTGACTCTGGCGGTAAGACACTGTTCGCACATCCTAGCTGGGCGGAAACTAGTATCCTCTTTCAAATCCCAGAAACAACCAATTCCCAGACTGCCGAAGGTGCTAAGAGCATATAATCTGCATGATGCAACATGTCATTCACCAATGGCGGGTGAGATCTGGACCATTCCTTGAGCCGTGGCCGTTCTAAACGAGCGCGCGCTTGGTTGCTGGGATCATCGATTGTGGGGCTTTGCATGCAGCGCACTCTCATGCAGATCGGAAGGAGGACGTCTCCCTTCCAGCACTATCCGTAATATTCTAGCGAGGTTCAATGTGCCAGAGATCTGGTCGCTCAGGACGCTATCATATCCAAGGAATGCTAGGGTCACCATAAGCATCAGGACATTAACAATTGACGACACTGAACGCGCCCTCCTCCACCAAGCTTGAAGATGACAGCTGAACAGCAAAGCGAATTCATGCAGGAGGTATAATCATTAGGTAAGTGCATTTGACATGCACCAATCAATGCGGGCCTGCTCTGGGGTGGGAAGGTCCGAAATGCCATGATTCTTGAGTTAGCATGCAATGCATCTATCTCGTCATGTCATAGGAGCTTACTGGAATTGGCCAGTGAGTGATCGCGAGAATCAATGCAGGTAAGATATACATCGGATAGCCTTTGGTTGCTAACTTAAGTTTATCATCTATCAAATAATGCTTTTAGAGAGAGTAGATCCGATCGCATGGATGGGGAAATGATTTGATGATATTGTTCACAACTATACCAATTTACACCTCGGTGGCACACCGCTTTTCTACAGCTTATTTCACGCTCATTTTCCTAGTCACACCAGTATCCTTCAGCCCAGCATGGTTGTTGGACATGAGGTGCTGCCACCATATCTGTCTTATTTAATCCACTTGGTTACTTACATCATCGTCATGACTAATCCGACCACTAAGCGAAGGTGAGATGCCTGTAGCCAATGATGTCCCGAGGAAGTCTATAATGATAAGATATTCTGTAAGGAACGTTGATCCAAAAAGTAAGACTATAACCACCTACGCTTGTGGTATACTAACCATTACTCAGGTTACATTCAAACGAGTGCTCCATGAGGCGGAAACCAACAAGTCGCCGCCTCTAGTCTTCCAAAAGTCCATTGGTTCTACCACAAAAATCAGCACACAATGAAAAATCATAGAAATAAAAACGTCAGAGATGTGACAAAGCTCTCTGGAAAACCCTTACCAGAGACACTTGAGCCATCGTCTATTCTGCATAACACACCCACTGAAGAATGGGTGACATCCAAAGATTTGTTAGAGGACGGACTCCCGTTTATGCCAGAGGTTATGAAAGATCTGACCATATTTCTCCTGGGGAACATCAATATAAACTCCACACAGCTGTTCCGGGCAGATATTCTTTACGACAGCCAGGGCGTCTTGAGTACGCCGCAGCAGAAGGAACTGTCATTTGCGCAGACGTCGAACATCGGCGTGGAAGCTACCGCGGACGCTGAAGACCGTGTAGAGCCCATCACGGCGAAAGAAGTCGCCGGGTTCAACTTGACCAGAACAGTGGTCAGGAGACTGATCCCCAGAAACCCGAAGCTCGATCGACCGCTAGAGCAAACCTGTCACTTCTATGAAACGGATATAACTCCCGGTAGCGAGAGTGCTACTCAACAATCTCGGCTAAGGCGCTTCCTGGCCGTTTATACGCCGCATGTAGCGTCGAAGGAGGAGATTCCTTTCTATCATCCCCTGCTTCGTTCTTTGGCCTACTTGTATGACTTCACCGATGACGCTACAGAGACTGCAGAAGCTAGATCGGGCTCCGGAACACTATCTCTGCACTTCTTGCCGTACCCAGAAGAAGCAATTCCAACCCGCCTAGAGCGGACCCTGCATTCCCTACTGAATACTCAGATTCGACTCGCCCGCAACCCACAGCCCTCCGAAGCCACCGAAGGGGGCAGCCATAACCCCAGCAAAGACAACGTAATCCCACAACACCTAGTCCAAAACACATACTCCCGCCTCAAATTCAAGTACGGAAAAGACCTCTGTAGAGACTGGGTCGAAGACACCGAACCAACAAAGCACGTCTTCGAAGACCTAGCAATAACAGCCTTTCTGATCGAGTTATGGCGAAGCATGTACGGAGCTGTTCCGGGCGAAGAGCGGAACGAAGACGAGCCCGAAAAGTACGACCCGAACTTCCCAGGCTTTGTGGACGTTGCGTGCGGGAACGGCGTGCTCGTGTACGTCCTCCTCATGGAAGGCTACCGGGGCTGGGGCTTTGACGCCCGTCGTCGGAAGACATGGAAGATCCTCCCCGAGTTCGTGCAGGCACGACTCAAGGAGGAAATCTATATCCCGAAACCCTTTGCCCACGCGATGGTGGGGGCGGGTGGAGTGCCTGATTTGGGCGTCGAGACGCATTCGGGCTTGTTTGAGAAGGATACCTTCATTATTTCGAATCATGCGGATGAGTTGACGGTCTGGACGCCCCTTATGGCTACCCTTGCGTGTCCGGAGTCGCCTTTGCCGTTTATTGCAATCCCTTGTTGCTCGCATGCGCTGTCGGGGGCGAGGTATCGATATCCTCCGCCCAGAGTGTCGAAGTCTGATCCTGATAAGAATGACTCGTCACAACATGAAGGCGTTGATTCTGAACAACCGGCAATGGGAGATTTGAAAGCTCTCCGCAAGACGAAACAAGAGGCCCAAACAGACGTAGGCTTCAACAAATCCATGTACGGCTCCCTTACCATGAAGGCAATAACCATCGCCGAGGAAATAGGATACGATGTCGAGAAGACGCTCCTTCGGATCCCTAGTACCCGCAACATGGGTGTAATAGGCGGCCGCAAACGAGTAACGAAGGAATGGCGTACACGGAACCAACAACGGTCTACTTTTGACTGCAACGGTGACGCAGTCATTGAGTCAGCTCTTGACAAAGCGATGGCAGCAGTTCAACGGGAATGCTCACGGGATGGAGGCGTGTCAGGCGCGGCTAGGATCTGGGTTGAGCGAGCCAAGGGCATCCATAAAGGACAGGGAGCGGGCAACCAGCGAGGACATTAACTTAGTTTCTATATGATACTCGGGGCATATCACACTTGACCAATTTCTTTGTCCTTTCTTCCGCTGCTTTTATCAGAGTCGGCGCTGCTTTGACTGATGACGGTAGGTCTGTGATCGTGTGTTAGGGATAACTTGGGGTATATAGTTTGTAGATTGAGTGATGTTAATGTACATAGAGGTGAGCTTTCCCCAACGATCTAAATCTATGAACACAATACGGAAAACTTGATCCGAGAATTCCCGAGAATGGTAAAAAACGTCTATCAGTGAGAGAAGAGGTACTCTAGACACATTAACACATTAAACCCTTGAAAGTTACTTGTGTCCAGGCAATATCAAACGAAAAGCAAGAATGCCACCCACCCAACACCCAACCATGCGATAGATACGTCAGTTATGTGAAAAATCATGGCAAATCACCAGCATCGAATGACCGCGGCTGATCCGAGGGATACAACGAACTGGCATTGAAGATTGATAATGGTAAATATGCTCTACGCAGAGTCACCACCGATGTTAGTAGCAGCCTCATGGGTTGCGGCATCACCGGACTGCTTTGGTTGCGACTTGGTCGCATTCCTCAAAGCTGCTGCTCGCTGCGCAGTAGGTTCGGTGGCAGCAGATTTGGCAGCGGCGGCCGCAGCGCTGTCTTTTAACCGTCTGATTCTCTCGGCGCGACCTTCGCCTGGAAGACTACCCCAGACCGGCTCAATGGAGTCCGCTCGCCAGTTGGACCGGTGTGCCGTGAGTGCGCTGTTTCGAGTGGGAAGGGAAACCATTGGTGAACCACCTACGCCGGCCTCACCCCACATCCGGACACGCTGAAGCTTGCGCAGCTTCGCTAGCCCATATACGCAGACGACTGCGGTTATCGCAAAGCATATAACGGAGACTCCTCCGAATCCGAAGTCGGACTCTTCAATGAAGTTCTTAAGATTCATACCATAAAGGGCAGAGAATAAAGTTCCTGTTGCAAGTCCCAGCGTACCAATGCTGAACTTCAGATCGAGCAGCATGAGAGAGTTGCGATTGGCGTCGAGGATAGCTTTCACACTAAGCGAAAATCAGCGAGTCTGCGCATAGGCATATCTAGGTTAAGAAGAAAACTAAAAAAAAAAATAAAAAAAATAAAAAAAAAAGAGCGGCAACTTACACTTCTTCCGTATTACGAATACCGGTCACTAAGTTACCACTGGCCTGAACAATTTCGTCACAGACCTTGTGGTACGACTCCAGAAGCATTTCAACTTCTTGATGGTCGTGCTCCTGTCTTTGAACGCCCTCTGCACGCTCAGTCAAATACATCGCCGCCAAGTCATCATCGGCTTCCAGCAAATCATCGATTGCATCCCGCACCAGTCGAGCTTTCTGCTCAAAACTACCCAATTTCTTCGAGTAGATCAACAGGTGCCTAAGCTTATCCCTATCGATGTCCTCTTCCAAGGCCCGAAGGACGCGCACCACGGGCTCTCGAACACCATTAAACTCCTCTTCAAGACCGGTTGTGACGCTGATCAACACAGCTTCGAGAGCGCGGAACTCATAAGGAAGAGCTTGGGCACCCTGCGATTGCTTCTGACGTAGCTTTCCTTCCAGATCATATACAAACAGCGACTGCATATATGAATCGGTGGATCCGTAGGCATCAAAGACCAAAACCCGATCGGCCTTGATCAGCACGCGAAGATGTAGAAGGTTGATAAGGATAGCACTCGGTCGTACAAGAATGTGGGGCAAGGTCGAAGAGTCAATTTTGCGAAGGTCTCGAGGGAGGAGGCCATACTTTTTTTAAGTCCCATTTAGCTTTCATGTTGTCCAAAGTAAAGTCGCAACCGTTTAGAAGAGGGGCAGTTACCAACCTTTGCGATGAGCTCACTTTTCCTAAACTCTCCATTTACAAGTGTAACATTGCCGTTGTTATCGAACTCAGTGCATCGCAATCGCAGCTCGTTGGAAGCCTTTGCCGCTAATCCACGTCCGAAATTCAGGCCTTCTGCTCCCTCGTCGACCAAGGCAGGACCGCCGGCGCGGTTCAATTTGGCTTCCGCGGCCGCTTTGCTACGTCGTAGGTCAAATAGCCTGCGAAGTAATGGGCGACTCTTCGTGTGTGTAGCCCGAGAAAACACGGTGATTGGGGACGGAGATTGATCCAGCGAAGCTCGATATCGCGACGAACCACGGCTTCTAGAAATGGTTGAAACGGGAAGGATGTTTGCCTCTAACGTGGCGCGACATCGTAGCGGCGTAATATATGCCCAGCTAGATGTATTTCTCAATGCGAGCATACGGGATGGCTGGTTATGAACTTGCGGCTTGCGGGAGGTTCTGCATGCCGATGTGAAGACATGGGTATTCTCTGACTGGGAGCGCAGGTATCGGAGTAGCGACGCTGAGGGAACTGCCGGTTTCAAAGGTGGCGGGGATAGCATTTCGGACTTGTCTAGATCAACAAGCCACCATCGAAGTGCTACCGTCTCTTTCTCCCTCTTCAATCCGCAGTATTGCTCGGCCCTCTTTTTTTCCTACATGGAGTTGCGCCGCGCGGACCATCTCGGGTCAATAATGTTCCGCAACTATATCTCCAACTACAACAAACATTTATTCTACTTCTACTTCTACTTCTTCGGTAGGGAGTTAGATGCTTGCTCGTCGGATCCCAGACTATTGTAAGACATTACTTTTGTTACATGAAGGAGCCTTTTCAGGGGGGTGGGAAATCCAACCGACACCTGCTCAGTTGAAGAATAATGCTGAATATTGAAACGAAGAACGCTGCAATATGTAGGTATCAAGCGAAACTAGACCGGTCTAACCCACAGCAACACATGAAGCAAAAATTGAGAAGTGGCCACCGAGTTTACCAATCATCGTCGTCTTCCTTTTCGTCATCTGTACGCTAGATTAGGACGCGTCACCTATCAATAGGCAAATAATGAACTTACCACTACCGCTAACTTTCTGCTTTCTCTTGTCCAGAGCGGCTTTAAGAGCGCCTGCCATACCACCCTGGGCAGCACCACCCCCTGCTGAAGCTGCGGATGATTCGTTGGCAGACCCAGGAACCATCGCCGCACTGCGATCCTTTTTGTCGGTGTCTTGGACTTTCCGCAAGCCTCCGCCACCCTTGCCTCCGGATGCCCTAATGGCAGCCATAAGGTCGTCTCTTCCACCAGAGGGTGTGGGCAAAGGTGGAGCTGCTCCACCACGGCCGGGTGGAGGCGGAGGCGGAGGGATGCTCGAAGATGGGGGTGGCGGTGGAGGAGCTGGAGGGCCTCTGCTTGATGGAGGGGGAGGGGGAGGGGGTACAGAAGGACTTGGGCTTGATGAAGGCGGTGGTGGTGGTGGTGGAGGGGGCACCGCACTGGACGCAGGTGGAGGGGGCGTAGGCCGGGAAGCAGCTGGTACAGGCGGAGGAGGAGGCGGTTGGCTGGCCGGACTTCTCGGGGGTGGTGGTGGTGGAGGTGCTGGCGTTGAGGCCGGTGCATGAGGCACTTTCGGAGGAAGCTGCGGCGGTACTGCAGGGCTTGACGTGCGGGGAGGTGGCCGTGGTGGTGGCCCTGGAGGCGCCGTGTTACGGCTTGGTGGTGCTGGAGGAGCGGACACCTTTCGCTCCCCTCCGAAAGGTGGAGGCACCCCAAACCGCGGTTGACTGTCATCCATGGGAGTCTTTGGAGGTCGTGGTGGGGGAGGAGGCCCAGGGGTCGTGCCCGATGACGCTCGCTGTCGGCCGGGAAGAGGGGGCCCATTCGTGTGCGCAAATTTGCCAGCATCTGCAATTGGAGGCGGCGCTCGGAATCTGGGCCGGGGCGGAGATGGTTCGCGAGTGGATGCAGGCGACTCTTCCTCTGCCTCAGCACGAGTTCTTCGTGACGGTGGAGGTGGTGGCGGAGCGCCTCGTCGACTACCCGTACTATTACCTGTATGTTGCGGGCTTATAGAGGTTGACTTAGGAGCAGGAGGCGCCGATGGAGGAGGCGGAGGGGGAGCTTTGCCCCTTTTGTCCTCAGCTGGAGACGGAGTAGAATCGACCCCGTTGCTTTGTTTCTGCTCTATATATGCCTTGATAAAGTCCGAATTCTCTGCGATCTGGTCTTCCGTAATTCCCATCTGCAAGAGTTCGTCCAGAAGACCTTTCCAGGACGGATCACTGGTGTCGAAGGGCAAGGGCTTGCGTGGGGGACTGCTCGGTGGGGGAGGTGCGACTTGAATGGAAGGCGCAGAAGGAGGTTCTGTATGTGCTACTGGTGGAGGCGCATTTGACCCCGATGTTGACCGATGGCCTAGCAGGCTCCCGAAAATCGACCGTCCTACGCCATGTTTACCATTTGCTATGGGAGCGGGGCCTTGACCACGAGTGGATGCAAAAGGTGTCTGCCGAGTTTCTTTGCTCGCATTTTTCTCCCGCTCTTGCATTTTCTTGATGAACGTTTTAGCTTCCTTCTCATCAGCAAAGGATAAACCAGCGGCACACTCTTCCAACTCAAACGTGTGAAAGAATGTTCGGTCCTGGTTATAGGGGAAATTATCGTAGATCTCCTGGTCCCAGATAACACCTCGTCCAGCGGGCTATGGCTCGGAATAACCGGAATCATTAGCAGTCTGGGAAAAGGTCAAGGGGCCATCGAGACAAGAATGGTTACTCACCGATACATCCACCAGCTTCAACCAAAAGGTCCGCCCGACTAAATCATTCGCCAGGACGACGGCACCCTGTAGACCTGTGTATGTCCATTTTTGAGGATCCGGGTAGGCCACATATAGTCGCGCAACAGCTACAGCATGAATCTTGTTCGCCGGTTTGGGGACAGTCCTCTTGACGGTTTCTTTGTCGGCGTCACTGAGGATAGATGGCATGACGGACCACGAAGAGCTAGTTCAAGAATACCGGGAACGGAATTAGAGGGTATGCAGCGCCGTTAATGTTTCTTAAGGAACTTCTCGATAACGCATTGCAGGAGTCGGTGAAGTTGCCCCAGGCAGAAGTGTAAAAGTGCACTCGACTTTCAGGCACGGATAATCGCTGATGCGGCCAAGAACAAACTCCGGCTAGAGAGGAGGGGCAATTTCTCCGGGTGTTCGATCAAGTCTTGAAAGATTGATCGTGGGTGAGTTCAAGAGGAGGAACGGGGGCCGTGGGCGAGTAATGTGTATGCTTATGGGTAGTTGAATTGTTGGTTGTTGGGAGAAATCAGCCTTGAGGGGAAGTCAGAAGAGGTCAAGTAGCAGAAAGAGGGAGAGAGGCACACTACCACTAATGCTACCGCTAAGTTTCTACTACAGTGCCACTAACTCCATTTCCAGTCCCACTTAAGGCCCGAGTGGGGAACTTGGAGAGAATGTAGGGCATTACTCCTCAAACACGAGGTATGTACGGAGTATTCTTATTTCATTTTCTTGGACTACAATTCTGCTCATCTCTACAGACTAGATGGTGCCGAGGAGAAGAGTTGAGGTTGTATGTACCTATTGCGTTTCGTAATCAGTTTAATCGCAAATCCTTCTTTTCAGTATTTACTCGTTTATAACCATGACCACAAATTATTCCCGGACCTGTCATATTGAGAGTAGATCAATTCTGGAACAGTCCGTATGTCACTGTCGTTTCGTTAATTAAATTCAATGTCAGGTGGTTGATTTCCAGTCGACGTCATCCCGTTTCCTCTTCAAAACTACTACTACTACTACTATTTAAATCGTAACTAAACACAACTCTGCACCATCATCAGACAAATTAATCATAGAACTTCTTCTTACCTGGCTACTTATTACACCCTGCTTTGCAACAGAAGTTTATTCACTAGGTTACTTACACTCCACTCCAAGATGCCGGTCATTCCTTCGGACACCACCAATTTGCCATCAACAGCCAGCAATAGCTCCAACCAGAATGAACCGCAGAAGGCCACTGCTCAGGACCATCTTTCTAAAGGACCACAAATTCCAGATAGTAAGTACTGTGATATCTTTTGTACATTCTTAGCAGATTAACTGAAACCTGCAGATATGCCACCCAAAGCTTCCCGGGAAGAAATCGAAGCACGCAAGAAAGAGCTGAACAAATGAACCAGAGCTCTAACGGATGACCACGATGGGACTTTCATTATCATGAATCATGATGTGTAGCGGAAATGTTTTGTAGGACTGTCACTAGTCTGGTTGATTCTGTACAATGATACAGGAAGCAATTTCATATGTATTATTTATCAGACTCAAAGATTGTCGTAGTAGTCGTACATAGAATAAACGACATCGGCTCTTGACGATACCAATTATTATTATCCTCCAGCACGGAATAGAACTACATTCATTGACCAGCATACCAGTAATGCGATGAAGTACATACTTGATTTTATTCAGACGCTTAATTACATCATAGACACGTGACTTCGTGTTCACTTTGCTCCTAATTGCGCGACAAGTGCATGTCTTCGTCGCGTTAAGAGGCTCCTCATGCCGCCGGAACGTACAAATGTCCCGGTGAAGCTGTCCTTGCCTTTAGTAAGTACCCTCATTTATTACACTTGTACACCGCAAGTCGCTTTGGTATCACTGACAGCATCAAACCCAGCAATATCAGCAGGACATCTTCACCGAACTGCGCACCGAGGATGAATTGGTCATCCTTGCCCGGGGCCTTGGGCTATTACGCTTAGTGACTAATCTCTTACATTTCTATGATGCTGCAGGGAATAATCTAGTCTTGGTAGTCGGTGCTGATGATCGAGAGAATGAATGGATCGGCGAAGGTATGTGAAAGGACCCCCCAGCTTATCCAAAGGGCCTCAATTAGGATATACCGACGCTAATAGCCAGACAGCATTGGCAGAACACTATGCCATGAGCAAAACCCCCTTCGCCAGAGGCCTCAAGGTGGTCAACACCGAGAGAGCCTCTGTTTCCATGAGGGAGAGAATATATGCTGAAGGCGGTATCCTGAGTGTGACATCCAGGATACTGGTTGTAGATCTACTATCAAGTATGTTTACGGAGTAGTTTTATATGTGGTAGTAAATGCCTGACATTGGCTTCTACAGAGCTCCTTGATCCTGAAAAGATTACGGGAATGGTTGTGCTGCATGCTGACAAGTAAGGAGCCCTACTTTTGACTTGCCGTAACTATTTATTAATCGCCTTCCAGGATTCTGGCCACTTCAACGGAAGCTTTCATCATTCGAATATTCCGACAAATCAACAAAAGTGGGTTCCTGAAGGCATTTTCCGACGCCCCTGAACCATTCACAACGGGATTCGCACCCTTAGCCAATTCTATGCGCAATCTTTTCCTTCGCAAAGCCTCGTTATGGCCGCGATTTCATGTTACTGTTGCCGAGTCCCTCGAAGGCCACAGAAAAGCTGAGGTCATCGAGCTTGAGGTTCCGATGAGCGACAAGATGCGTGAAATGCAGAATGCAGTCCTTGAATGTGTGGAAATATGCATCGGAGAACTGAAGAAAGCCAACACTGGCCTGGACATGGCAGACTGGACTTTGGACAGTGCTCTGCATAGGAGCTTTGACATCATGATCAGACGGCAGTTAGACCCCATATGGCATCGGGTTACGTTCAGGACCAGGCAGATTGTTAGCGACTTGAGCGATCTCAGGGCGATTCTCCAGTAAGTTCAGTGACGACCCCTCATCAGCTAAGCATCGTATAGCCTCTAACTTAACACTAGTGCGTTGCTGACGTACGATTCTGTATCATTCGTGAAATATCTGGATACTATCGTAACTGCGCATTCTCCTCCTCCTGGGTCCACAAGGCATAACTATTCACCATGGCTGTTCCTTGATGCAGCTCACGTTCTGTTCCAGACTGCTAAGTCTAGGGCATATCAAGGAAAGATAGGCAATGACGTGGCTCGCTCATCAATGAATTCGTTCCCTACTACTCTTCAACCCGTCTTGGAAGAACAACCTAAGTGGGAAGTCCTGGCAGAAGTGCTGGAGGAGATAGAAAATGATGCATATCTCAACCCAGTCAATGTGGACGAGTCAAACAGCACAGTATTGATCATGTGTACTGACCAACGAACTTGCCGACAGCTTCGGGAGTATTTGGGGACAATGCATGCCCATATCAATGACGAGAATGAAGACGACAAAGACATTGGTGACATCACTAGAAAGGGCTCTGCACAGGTCATGATGCGTAGGAGACTGCGGGACTACCTCAATTGGAAGACATCTCTGTCTAATGTGACAAAAAATTTAACTTCGAAACCAACAAATGACGAGTCTCAGGCTAGGAAAAGCCAAGACTCGCCTGGATCATCCGCTCAACAAGGGCGAGCTCCTCCAAACAAACGACGCCGAGTCCGTGGCGGAGGTGCTGTTTCATCTGCCTCTGGCCGTGTACCGAATAGCAGTGTACAGACAGATGTTGAATTGCCTGGCCAAGTCTCGAACTTACTGGAAGAGATCCAACCCACGGAAGTCGAGGAGGTCCTGAAGGAGGAGATCATTTTTGACGATCTGGAGGATATGGAAGATTTCTATGAGCTATACGATATGGATGATCTAACCATGATACACCCCTACGACGGTGACATGGACGAGCACATATTGGAAGAAGTGCGGCCGAGGTACATCATTATGTATGAACCCGATTCGGCGTTCATCCGACGAGTGGAAGTCTATCGCAGCTCTCATGTTGGGCGGAACGTACGAGTGTACTTTATGTACTATGGAGGATCTGTCGAAGAGCAGCGGTACCTTAGCGCAGTCCGACGCGAGAAAGACTCATTCACAAAACTCATTAAAGAGAAAGGCGTAAGATGTTCACTTGCAACTACTTCTGTGAAACTATCTACTAACATGATACACACAGAACATGGCTGTCACTCTCACACACGACAAGGGTTTTGAAGACCCTCAAGAGCAATTCCTGCGCACTGTCAACACACGTATTGCTGGAGGTGGGCGGCTAGCTGCAACAGCATCACCACCTCGAGTCGTGGTGGACGTACGAGAATTTAGAAGTGCTCTTCCATCTCTGCTACACGGTAATAACATGATCATTGTCCCATGCCAGCTGACAGTGGGCGACTATATCCTTACCCCGGATATCTGTGTTGAACGCAAATCGATTCGTGACTTGATCACTTCCCTCAAGAATGGCCGTCTCTACAACCAAGCAGAGACGATGCTTCAGCATTACAAGAACCCACTTCTTCTGATTGAATTTGACCAGAACAAGTCGTTTACCTTCGATGCATTCGCATCCGCAACAACACCAGGAACGACTTTCCTAACAGATTATGGTTTCTCTTCTTCCGGAACTGCGACCACGACCTTGTCTGCCAGCAATTCGCTCGTTAACCCCTCTAGCCCGAAGTCCGCTCAACATCTTCTCGTCCTTCTCACCCTCGCATTCCCTCGCTTAAAGGTTATTTGGTCATCCTCTCCTTACCAGACTGCGGAGATCTTCGCGGAACTCAAGAAGAACAACCCGGAGCCAGATCCTATCCGAGCAGTTCAGATCGGGCTAGACATGGACATTGCAGCTGGCTCCGACTCTGGTAATGTCATGGCTGCAGCTGGTATTGAGCACCGTACCTTCAATCTCCTTCCTCAGGATATGCTCCGAGCCGTTCCGGGCGTGACACCGAGTGTCCTCGAACGGCTTATTCTTGAGACGGGCAATATCTCGGAGATCGCTAATATGGGTGTTGAGCAATTGGACCCTCTTGTGGGAACAGAAGCCGCACGCAAGATCGTCAACTTCTTCCAGAAGAGTGTGTTCGATGAAAGCTAACCTGCATCTACTTTCTACTAGCTTGCGAGTCCAGCTACTGAAGAGCTAGTCGATGGGCTACATATAGTGTTTATAGATAGGACTTAAAAGGCATAACCTGTGTATGTCCAGACTTTTTTGTATTCTCGTAACCTTGTCATGAATCTATCATCCAAGTTTTGAATTAAAAGGAACGAAGTAGCAAAAGGGAACAGACAAAAGAATTGCCAACACGAAACACGCTGAGTACAGTCGGTCTCTTTTGATATGCGTCGCAACCAATTCTCTGCGGAAATCCGAGGTTGTCCCTCATAATAAATATGACCTTTGGCCAAAAAGCCAATCAAGTTTATCATGTAGAACTCCAAGAATTTCCTACCCATGATTCATACCCTGACTTTTGGAAGGAGCACTGGGGCAGTGGTAGGTCCCCAAGCGAAGCGGGAAGGCAGCAGCCCCTAGTCCTTTCTGGTCTCCTTCCCAGGAAACAGATGGCATAATGATAAAACCAACCGTCAGGCTCCTGCCTGACGCAAGAAAGACCCTTCACAGAAGGAAGCCTGTCGGGTTTCCTAGGAAGGAAATAGCTTGGCTTTGAGAAAGAGAAAAAAGGGGCCGGCGAACAGGATCCCCAGTAGCTCTCGCAGGGCTGAATCCAAAGGGATGAGGGTTTTTAGAGCTCGTCGACATCGATCTCCTTCTCGTCTTCGCTCTCGCGGTCCTCGTCGAACTCGACGTTGTCCTCGAAGCCTTCGTGGCCGTAGGTATCGGTCTCGTTAATCTTGGCGTGTTCGGGCAGCTCGCCGTAGGCCTTAAGACTTCTGGCCTCATCGGCGGTGTACTTCATGATAACGTCGCCCTTTTCGTCCTGATAATCACGGAGAGAGAGAAGGATGATATCACCCTGGTTGATCCAGACCTTCTTCCTGAGCTTGCCACGGATGTGCGCCAGACGCTTCTCGCCGTCGAAGCACAGCGCCTCGAGACGGCCGTTACCAAGCATCTTCACAACCTGGGCATACTCCTGGCCTTCTTCCTTGAACACGAGTTCACGCTTCTCGTTGTCGTTCTCGTTCTTTCCACGACGACGGTTCTTACCGCCCTGTACAGATACTGTTAGCCTGTGCTCTGTGTAAACATTCCATTGCAAGCGCTTCCTAAATCCCAAGGCAACTTATAGAGCCAAAAGCCACCTCCCAGGTACAAGGGGTGGCGATTTGGGAGTTGTTATGGCACCGAGTAAAGCACACACGGGAGAAGCAGAAAAAAGTCTAACAAGGCGGGGGCGACTTGTGTCAAAAAAAATCCTGTTCTTACCTTTCCCTTATTCTTGGGCATGACGGAAATTCGCTAACCGCGATAACTTTCCACTCGATGCAATATCAGATGGACTGATATGAAAAAGGGGAAATGATATGTGTCCCAAAGGACCAAGAGTTGTGAAAGTGGGGGAAGTGTCGAGTAGGCGGGAAGTAATTTCGACGCTTTTCTGAATATATAATCGGTGGGGGGCCGGTGGCGTGGCGGCCTGAGTCATGCCTAAGGCCGGCTACAGGGGTTGACCAATAAAAGCTGGTTACTGTTACCGCCTCTAATGTTTCTTTCGGCAGAAAAATAAATGGAAATCGTCCGATTTGGGTCGAAATTGATGAATCCAGTTCCATGAAGAAAGAACCTACGTCTTTTTTGCGTCTTTCCTCTTTGATATTTTATTTCTTGAAAGGTTTCTGACGCATATACCTGCGCGCTCCCTCCTATTACCGCTAGAAGTGCTGGTTTTGTCTAGCTAAACAATGAAGGGAAGGTGACACCGTCTAGTGCCAGTGCCCTAGATCCCAGTTTCATCTTTCTTAGCCACAAGAGCAAGGCTCGTTCTTGACTACTTGGTCACCTTAGACATGAAGTTCCTCGCATCAACAAAGCAGTTTACTCTGCGGTATGTTCCAAAACATGTCATATCTCCTATCGCTTCCCGGTACCTAGCTTCTCCGATCAATCCTATCCGGTTCAAAATTCAACATTTATACGCCACCCGTGATCGGACTACATTATGGTGGAGAGTATCCTTACAACATCTGCAGCAGCAAAGGCGAGTGGTCCGGTCTTGGTGTGCACGGAGGGTTCGGATAGCATTTCAGCGTGCGTTGAAAGAGCGCGGCTTTGATACTGAGGGCAGAAGGATAAGACCAAGTTCTGATGAAAGTACCGCGCTATCAGAAGGAAATTGTGATAATTTGGTAGGATCTGTCGACATCCTGGTCCGCCCGCAGTGTGTCCAAGAAGATTATGCTACGGTCCAGGCGGATATGAACTCTCTCGTCGATTCCTTGATACAGAACAGGAACAAGGGAGATCACCCAAAATTGCTGCGAAATGAGGGCGTCAAAGTGTCAATTAAGAATTCTCAAAGAAACAATAGTGCTAATAATTAATCTAATGAGTGTATATATATATCGTGGTCGTGTAACGTGGTTGGTTGTTCAACTGTATCTGATCCGTATCTCCAAGCACTTTGAGGAACAATAATTGCTTCAGATGTGGTGGCGCAAGTTCATCATTTGCGGGCAATTTTGAATATATTGACAGTTAGTTATAAACCTTGATTGAAGAAACAAGAATACTAGTGGAGGACATTCCCCATAAGTATGTACATAAGGACAAGGAACTCGGAGATATAACGCGTGGCACTGCCTCCTTGGCACATTCGCTAACTTGCCGATCTTCTCGGGGCCTGGAAGCAAGAAGACAACAACGGACTAGAGCAGTTGTAGCACTACGTACCCTCCCAAGATATCAATCAACCAACCTTTTCGCGTTGTCAAACCTTACCTTTCTTTTATGCGCCATCAATAATCGATTAACTCCTTTTTCTTATCCTCCAACATGCTGGTCTCCTTGACAGTTGGCAAGGTAGACGCTGGAGTCGCCGTCCTCTTGACACAGGATAACCGACTGGTCAGTTCGTCCCCTCTTCTAAGTGCAATTGATGCAACTGTTTCACCCCTTCAAGACCTCGCGATCCCTGACTTATCCCTTCAAACATGAAACAACGTCACTGTATCCGCGGCAGTTCTAATCTCTGTCCACTTCGCAAGTGCTAACCCTACAATTACAGATCGAGTTTCCCTCCGTTCTCCTCCCTAACAACATCACATCCGGCAGCATCGTCGACATTACCGTAGCGCGCAATCACTCCGCCGAAGAAGCCAGTGCCACCGGATTCCAAAGTCTCCAGAAACGCATCCTCAACACTTACGGTGTCAAAACTCCTGCCCCGCCGGTCCTGCGACTCCGCAACGCAACCCAGACTTCGCTAGTACTGGAGTGGGATCCGATCGACCTGGCCACAGCATCTCTGAAATCCCTCTCACTCTATCGCAATGGCTCCAAAGCCGGATCCATCCCGCGACCCCTCGAGACACGCTCCACCAAGATCAGCGGACTGGCAATCCACACCGAGTACACCTTCCACTTAGTCCTGCGCACAACCGCTGGCACATATCAGTCGGAGAAGCTGACATGTCGGACGCACAAGATGACCGATCTATCCGGTATCACGGTCACGGCGGGCGTTCTCCCGGAACAGCAGAAGGAGGCACTTGGTGCTGCGCTGGATCGCGTCGGTGGCAAGCTGATTGATACGGTCCGCATTGATACGACTCACTTCGTGTGCACGGAGGGAAGAGGCCCGCTGTGGGAGAAGGCGGTTGAGATGAATATTCCCGTCGTGACGCCGGAATGGGTGGATGCCTGTGAGGCTGAGGGCACTATCGTGAGTGTCCGTGGCTACTATCTGAATGCCGACCCCAAGGCCAGACAGCTGGGTCCTATTCATGCGTCAACGCAACATCAGCGTACCATGTCTACCATGACTGCCAACACACAGAATCATATCCAATCCCAGTCTCAGTCGAGACTGAGCCTCCAGCCTCAGCCGATGCGAGAGAGACAGGAGTCTGTCGCTGAGCCGCCAATTACTCCGTTCCCCGGGGCCGGCATGAGCGGTCAACCGAAGGCTGAGGACTCGGAAGGACCTTCGGATGATGAAGATGAACAACCTCCTCCGCCTCCTCCCAAGGATGAGAGCGACGCTGCAGAGTCCCCGGAGCCGACTCCTAACGGTCATGCCGAGCAAAATGGGGAGGCAGATGCCGCGGAAACAGCAGGCTCATCAGAGAAAGAGGACAAAGCTGATAATGAGAAGGAAGAAGATGTACCAGAGAAGGCAGAGGAAACAAAAGAAGAGTCATCAGGTGATGAAGTGAAGAAGGGCAAGGGGAAAGAAGGCGAAGGGGATTTTAATGAAGTCCCTCTTTAATGGGTCCATGTGAGCGTTTTCCTTATGACTCTTTCCTCTGTTTACTTTTCTTTTTCCTTTTCTTCTTCTTCTTATCCTGTTTAAGACTTTGAATTCATCGAAGCCTGTAATTGTATAGCCAGTATGCTAGTAGATGAGTCTCTCGCGGCACGACGTTTCCTAATGTATGCCTTTCTTATGCTTTTCATATCTTACTCTTTTTGCGCTCTTGTGTCATGTTTGTATTATAGAGGTAGCTTCTAATGCTGCATGATTTATCTGATATCATAAAGTTCTCCATCTTATATAGTAGGGATTCTATAATGATCACATCATAAACTTCCATAATCATTCGAAATGTCATACAAATCTATCCAAGATGTACATCTATCTCGTCACGCACACTCCAGTACACGTACATCACACTATCTGACAATGTCCCCTGACATGGAAGGACCTCTCCCGACCTTCACCTAAAATGCAAGAAAAGGTTGCCAACTATTGCGCCGATATGCTTTGAATCTTCATATGTACTGAGCGTTGCTTTTTTTTTTTTTTTTTTTGACTTCGTTCCTCGTTGTAATCATCAGCATAATAACCCATGCTTAGTTGACGTTGCGGACAACGTCGTTGATAGCCTGAGCTACGTATGTGACGTTCTTCTCGCTCACTGTGTGGGAAAGATTTATTAGTACGGACACTTTTCTTGTGCAGCCGATGGAAGAAATGACTTACGGCCGCTGATGGAGGCTCTGCCAGATTTGAGAAGGTAGATGTGATACTTGTCCTTCAAGGCGTAGACTTGAGAGGGGGTGAGACCGGTGTAGGAGAACATTCCGTTCTGGGAGGAGAGAAGGTTAGTCTTAGCTCGGAATGGTGTCAGACGTGGTGATGGGTGGTTTTGTAATTACCTGTTCAACGATGTGTCTCCATGTTCCGGGGGTCTCAAGTTTGATGAGCTCATTGTACAATGCCTGTCTCATGGTTCTGATACGAGAGCTCATGACCTTCAGATCTTCATGCCACTGAGCAGTGAGCTCCTCATCAGTCAGGACCTTCTTAACGATGCTGCATCCACCGGTGGGACCCATGGAGTACTCTCCACGGATGAAGTGACAGAGGTTGTTGACGACGATGTCGCGGAGGTTTTGGGCACCGTCATTCAGGACGTAGTGGAATGCACCGACACGCTGGCCATAGAGACCGAAGTTCTTCGAGAAGCTCTGAGCAACGCACATTTCCATCTGAGGCTTCTCGTTGAGGAAGTAGCGGACAGCCCAGGCGTCCTCGTCGGCCGAACCAGAAGCGAACCCCTGGTACGCGGAGTCGAAGAAGGGGAAGAGCTTCTTGCGCTCGCACAAGTCGGCAATAGCCTTCCATTGCTCCTTGTTGGGGTCGAGACCGGTAGGGTTATGAGCGCAGGCATGGAGGAGGATGACGTCTCCTTGCTGGGCCTCAGCTTCGAGGGTAGACATCATGCCTTCAAAGTCGAAGGAGCGAGTGGCAGCCTTGTAGTACGGGTAGGTCTTCCGGGGGACGCCAGCGAGCTCCCAGATGGTCAGATGGTTGGCCCAGGATGGGTTGGAGAGCCAGACATTCTTGGGCTTCATGAGGTGTGAGAGGAAGAGAGCACCAAGGTGGTTGGCGCCGGTACCTGCGACGGCCTGGACAGAGCCAATGCGGCCCTTGGTCGACTTAACCTTGTCGGAGGTGTCTTTCGCATCGAAGCCGAACATCAGGTCTCGAGCCAGCTCGAGGAAGGGGATGTCGCCTTCGATAGCGGTGTATTCGTGTCTGAATAGGTTGTCCTCGGCCAGTAGGCGCTTCTCTGCCTCACGAACGACGGGCAGCGGCCATGGCTTGCCATCATCTGTACGGTAGACACCCACACCGAGACTGACTTTTTTCGGGTAGTCGTCGTTGGCGTAGGCGCGGTTCAATGCGAAGATCTCATCTGCCGGCACCGGGGCCAAAGTGCTTAGAACAGTCATGTTGTTATGACGTTATATAGTAGTCTCACGGAAGTTCGCTCGATTGATTTCTCCCTGGGGAGCGTTGCGATTGCGGAAGAGGGGGGTCACAAAACGAAAAGAATGGAGAAGCTGCTGCTTAGATATAGAAGACGAGGTCACTGAAGACTTGTCTATACTGCCAAAATAAGTAATTAGATTACAGAATTGGTTTTCTGCATGACTCAATGGCTAGTGTGATATATATTAGTAGTGGCATTGGCCCGATATCGCCGGCCTAGTTATCCGCTAACATTTAATATTGCCTCTTTTTTCTTTCCTTTTTTTTTAGTCTCATTATTTGCCGTCGCAGGCGGGCGACAATACCCGACGGCAAAACGCGCTTAGCGGTGGATAGTTTCTGAATTGTGGGCCGTTCCATGGGGATAGAGTAGGAAAACGCTCCCTGACTGGTCGAGGGCGATCTATTCTTTTGGTAGATACGTTCCATGATGATGGTGCTGAGATCACACGCATCTTTGGAAGGGTTGGATGTAGAGGAGCATATGACCTTGGACGAGAGTATTTTCTTGTCCTAGGGGTGAATGAAGGGAGATGACACCTGTCGGATAGTGGTAGATCCTCCATATCAAGGCTCGCCACGGATATTTCAAATAGAAGACCTGGGGATGTTCGTAACTCTAAAGGACAATTAGGTCACGAAATCCCACAATGCAGGCGCAGCCAGCTACGTGTTAGTTCATAGTTTCTTTTTCTTTCATGCTTTTTGTGTCGCATTCTCCTTCTCCTTCCCCAGAGTGCCTTTGGGGCGCCTTGGCATCGGTGAAGGTAGAGGTATCTGTCGACACACATTTGGCTAACTAGCGATATGCAACATTTTCCGTCATGGTGTAAACTGTAGAATAGTATTGCTATTGATGCGGTGAACCATCTGGGACTCGATAATGACACCCGAGGGTTATTGAACTCTCGATAGGTTGTTGCTATATATATTCGTGGAATGTCTGACCGGGAGAAATTAATTAGTCGATTAAGTATCGTGAGATAAAGATAGTAATATATCAACAGAACCAGACATAATGCAACTGTCCAAAGGAAAACACATATTCCACTTACTTAACAGTACTCCGTACCCCACTCCCATTAGGGTGACTATATCGTAGATGTGACAAGGCCACCCAAATTCAACAGATATGTTGACAGTGCGGAACTTGGTACGGTTGAATGAATGAATGGCGGCCTGTAGGGTGCTGACTGTAGTCTCTAGGTTAGACTAAATGACAGTCTCTTCCGATTCGAGGTTATGTCGGCTGATAACAGGGAGGGATGCGATTTTTACGGAGTAAGCGAAGTTACTCCGATGTATGTATGCATTATAGGTGCCTCAGTGCGTGTTCAATTGGACCCTTAAACTCAACAATTATTCTCTGAGCGATGAACACAAATACATTAATTTGTAATACTCACAAATATATTATGACTGTAATCCAGCCATTGCCATCTTCACCAGAAACAACTGGAGGATCCCAAATCTACAGCTTCATTACGCCCACCAACCACCATTCATGAACTTCTTCCCCGGTTCGACCTAGTCTATGTCAAAAAGTACAACAGATACGATGTGGGCCGCCTACATAGACATGAAGTGCCGATCGAAGACTTTAGAAAGAGGCCGGCGACATATGCCGCCAGTTACGACCGTGCTACGGGCCCGGAAGTATACCACATTAGGTACTGAGCAGAAATGTTCTGTTCAAGGAGAGAGAGAGAAGGGTTCGGATCTTCGGACCGAAACAGACCGTTGATGAACAAGGTAGGCTGAAGCAGAGCGGCATATATCAATTTCTATGGAGGTGGATGAGTGTTTGGTGATCATTTGGCAGACCATAAGGTCTGCAAATGAGTTATTCATAACCTAGATGGGGACTAGGTGGCATTTGACATCAACTGTCGACTTGCACCGAGAATAGGTACCCTACCGCTAATGAAGACTGCTGGGCCGCGTTCAACTGGGTAAGCTACTTGTATACTCGCAGTTTTCAGCTACAGCGGACTAAATTTCAGTCTGAATTCGGTTTCAGAAGGTCGGTGAGTTCAACATTGACACAGGCAGGATGCCGGTCGGTAGGATCTCAGCAGGAGGTTATCTGCCAGCAGTATTGGTCCATCTTTGCCGGGATGTTACCACCCCGTTACGCTTCCAGAATTGACTATGTCTGCGTGTAATTTAAACAGTGTCTTCACCGGTGCGGGTTTGATCGGGATAACTGGCCATACGAGTCGTACCGGGAGATGGAATTCACGCCGGCACTGCCAACGGCAGGGATAGCATATCTCCACAAGTGCTTCCTAGGACTGCCCTGACCAGCAAGGTGAGAGGAGGTGTGCATGCCCATGATGTCTGGAATTTCGGTAGATCCTGAGCATGAAAGCGTTGACTGACACAGTAGAAAACTTTCCCTATGCTAGCTTCCAGCTTAAATCTCACACATCATAAATGGACCCCTCTGCGAGATGAAGGAGAAGCTGATGCTGGAAAGTTGAAGGTTGCTGGTTGTGAGTAAAATTTATGCGAATGCCTGGGGTACCCCATATTTTCCCCCATTCGGATGGCATCTTGGAAGCGGTAAAGTCGTATTATAAAAGGTGATTATTGTCATGGAGAAGAAACTTGCTGCATGATGTATATAGAGGAGGATCATGGTTTACCCGGCGAGGATGGTTACCATACCGTACGGATCGGGATCTTCGGTAGGTATTGATTTTCTGTATGTATGGTCATCGCGTTACCGGGCCGGGGGATTTCGGCAGCGGAATCGGAAAAGCAATGGAATAATTGCTGGATGCAGCAGTACCTTCGATTTTGCTTTCCTTTTCTCCTTTCTGTATTTCTTCTCCTAATATACTGATTCTTGTACTTTTACTGTTATTCTTATAGACATACATAATTTAAGGTATTTATACAACTTTGAACTTCCCAATTCAGAGCCATTGACCTATTGAGTACAAAGCTAAACGAAATCATCCTTGTCTAGCTCCGTCATGTTGACACCGTCGAACTCCCGAGCCGCGGTGCGCTCGATGGCTTCTTTGGCTCATGCAGCATCTAGAGCGTCCACCAGTTCCCCCGCAGTCGCACGCTCTGCTTTAGCCTGTGCTGCCCGGTCCCCCGCTTCTCTCGGTTGCCGTCGCGCTCTGAGCACCAATAGCCGACAACTCCAGTTCCCCCGCCTTCAGTCTTTGAACACCATCTCCGGCAAGAGAGCCTTTGGTACAACTGCAAGAATGGTAAGCATACTGGGATTTATGATGGAAGAATGCTAGTCATGGTACTCTCTGCTTAATGCTGTAGCAATGGCTTTGCTTCTAGCGGAAGAGTACGATTTTTCCAACGCACAATGCTGACGGTTCCTCTCAGGCTTCGGAAACTCGTGTTGAAACTGACGCCTTTGGCGAGATTGAGGTGAGCATATCTTCTATCTAACTGGATTGTCTCTAAGGTCTAATCGTATGTTGCGATAGGTCCCCGCCGACAAGTACTGGGGTGCCCAGACCCAGCGGTAAGAGGCCGCCTCGAGAAGCTCACCTCCGAGCTCGCCCCGGCAGGGAGATATACAGAGGCTAATCAATCTGAGAACAGTTCCCTGGGTAACTTTGACATCAACCAGCCTCAGGACCGTATGCCCGAGGGCGTTGTCAAGGCTTTCGGTATTCTGAAGGGTGCTGCTGCTACTGTGAACATGAAGTTTGGCCTTGGTACGCGTAGCTTTACCAGCGTGATGTTAAACAAGACCTTTCTAACAATTTCTGCGTGCTCTAGACCCCAAGATTGGCGAGGCTATCCAGAAGGCTGCCGCTGAGGTTGCCGAGGGCAAGCTCTTGGACCACTTCCCTCTTGTCGTTTGGCAGACTGGTTCCGGTACCCAGTCCAACATGAACTCCAACGAGGTCATCTCGAACCGTGCCATTGAGATCTTGGGCGGCAAGATGGGATCTAAGAAGCCTGTGCACCCCAACGACCACGTTAACATGTCTGCCTCCTCCAACGACTCTTTCCCTACTGCTATGCACATCGCTGCTGTTTTGGAGCTCGAGGGAGCTTTGCTGCCTTCCCTCAAGAGCCTTCGCGACGCCCTCCAGGTGAAGGTGGAGAACTTTGAGAAGATCATCAAGATCGGTCGTACGCACTTGCAGGATGCTACCCCTCTTACTCTTGGCCAGGAGTTCTCCGGCTACGTTGCCCAGCTTGATCGCAACATCGAGCGTGTTCAGAACTCTCTTCCCCACCTCCGCTATCTTGCTCAGGGTGGAACTGCTGTCGGCACTGGTCTGAACACCTTCAAGGGCTTCGATGAGGCCATTGCTGCCGAGGTCACCAAGATGACTGGCACCGAATTCAAGACCGCCCCCAACAAGTTCGAGGTCCTCGCTGCTCACGACGCGATCGTCGAGGCCTCTGGTTCCCTTAACACCCTTGCTTGCTCCCTCTTCAAGATTGCCCAGGATATCCGTTACCTCGGTTCTGGACCTCGTTGCGGTCTGGGCGAGCTGATCCTCCCCGAGAACGAGCCCGGCTCCTCTATCATGCCCGGAAAGGTCAACCCCACTCAGTGCGAGTCCCTCACCATGATCTGCTCTCAGGTTATGGGTAACCATGTCGCTGCTACCGTTGGTGGCATGAACGGCCAGTTTGAGCTTAACGTGTTCAAGCCCGTCATGATCCGCAACCTTCTGCACAGCTCGCGCATTCTTTCGGATGGCATGAAGAGCTTCGAGAAAAACCTGGTGCACGGTCTCGAGGCCAACGAGCCTAGAATCAACTCCCTGCTCCACGAGAGGTATGTATTCCCTCCGCTCTACCTGCCCAACTTAGACTAATTCCTCCCCAGTCTGATGCTTGTCACCTGCTTGAACCCCGTTATCGGTTACGACATGGCGTCCAAGGTCGCTAAGAACGCCCACAAGAAGGGTCTCACTCTGAAGCAGAGTGCCATGGAGCTTCAGGCCCTTAGCGAGGAGGACTTCGACACCCATGTTCGCCCTGAGCTGATGCTTGCTCCCAAGGAGAAGAAATAGAAGGGTGCATTTTGATACCCGAACGACGAAAAGGGGTTAGGATGGATTGGTTCAGTTTAAGATATAGCGAAATTAGCATTTTGTTTCCTTTTAGATATGTTGTGATGTAGCCTAGTGTATACAGATAAAAATGCTGATGTACGAGTTTTATTTTTAGAATTGGTGTATTTTTTGTTTTATCAGGCTGTGGCTCCGGGGTTGTCCTAGAGTTATTTTTGGAATTCCATTGGTAGCTGCGCCAACGAGATAGTGCGCCCGCTGTTGCCCTGTAGAATGCGCTGGACTGAGAAAAAAATTAGTAGCTCCCAATTACATGCATGCATTAGTAGCATATCCAGAGTGTACCGAGAGGTATAGCATAGTGGCTGTGAAAGGCGACTGTATTATCTTTTTCATTTATTTTATTTATTTATTATTTTTTTCCCCTCGCTTGTTTGGAATTTTCTTCAAACCTGTACTAACAGATTTCAATACTTCGGTATCGAGCGTCTCAGGTCCCAATTCAAATCCATGGTAAATTTTTTTTGTTTATCGATAAATACCTGTTTTGTCCCCACCTCCTGGAATTTCAGTTTGTTTTCACATCCTTCTTCCAAACATTCGTCTTTCGTTGATCTTACAGTAATTGAGTGAAGAATACTACTCTTGTGTCTCGCTCTGTCTTCTTCTTCTTCTTTCTTAATTGAATCTCTCTTTCCACTCTTTCCGACGTTGTTCTTGTTCGGTCAAGATCAATAAATCTAATCGGGACCCGACCCCACTGTGTTTCACACCGCATAGTTTCAACCCCTAAAAAGCGCAGCGGACAGTGATCGATTAGCTCCATTGATCATCCTGTCTTAAACTCGCGGCTCCCTCGTTTGACCGATCGTCATTTGAACCACTATCTACTATTAACAATGACCAACCTTACCACCACCACCACGACTCCTGCCCCTATCGCAGTCTCCATCAAACCCACCATGAACTCCCAACCCGACGATGCCCCTCTCTTCTCAACCTCTTTGATCTCCCCTGAGGTGGTCGCTGTTCTCCCAGAGGGGTACACTATCCGTCCTGTTCGCCGCTCCGACTACAAGCGGGGGTTCCTCGATGTACTCCGTGTGTTGACCACCGTCGGCGACATCACTGAGGAGCAATGGAGCCAGCGGTTTGACTGGATATCTGCCCGTAATGACGAGTATTACCTGCTTGTCATCTGCGACAACACAGACCGTGTTGTCGGTACCGGCAGTTTGATTGTCGAGCGGAAGTTCATCCACTCTCTTGGCATGGTCGGGCACATCGAAGATATTGCCGTTGATCAGTCACAGCAGGGAAAGAAGTTGGGCTTGAGGCTCATTCAGGCTTTGGACTACGTGGCTGCTAACGTCGGTTGCTACAAGGTATGCTTTAGTTGAGCCCCCCTCCCCCCCTTTTTTTTTAGAATGTTCCCGTTGCTAATCTGTTCTTATAGAGCATCCTTGATTGCTCCGAACACAACGAGGGCTTCTACCTCAAGTGTGGCTTTAAGCGTGCCGGCCTGGAAATGGCTCACTATTACTGAAATTAAGACTTGCGGCTAAGGGACTTATACTGGCGTTTAGATAAATGGTTTGGGGTTTGTCTGTGAGAATCCTTCATAATGCCTGAGGGGCCTTCTCTAGAATTCTTGTTCGGGTTTACAAGGCCTGGTGTTCGGGACACGGTTGCTTGGCGAATTGGCTCGCCTATTCTTGGGCTTCGCTCCTGTGGGACTCGGTCGAGGACGCTCAAGAAAGATCAGAGCGGGCACTCTTGACGGTGCATGGCATGAGTGGTATTCGACCTGTCGATCGACTTCTGATGAGCCAATCTCGAGAGATGGGCATGTTCAGATGGAGATTTTCATACCTCTGTCGAATTGATTGCCCAGGGGTAGTCGCCAGCATGTTCACTTGGATAGAGCTAGGATGCCTTGTTATGCCATCCATTCTATAGACAACATATTAGAGTATCGAAGTAATGTTATAATGCCAATATTCCAAAAAATACTTATAGCCACTTTAGAGGTGGAGATAGTCTATGATATCCATAACTTTGTCACAGAGGGACAGTGGCGCAAAGCCAGGGGAAGACTTATACTAGATAAGATAAAGAGTTCTTTACGTATGGGAACGTCTTGAGAACAATCTAAATCCAATTATGACATTATGTCACATCGTAAACTAAAAAAACCCGTACAGGAATCTACAGGCCCAGAGCGACAAAAACGGCTATCATGTCACATCCATTTTTTCCATTTCCTTGTAAGTACCATGGCGCACAATGACAGAGCCTATCTGAGAGCCGTGCGGGAATCTCGTCCGCAAGAAACCATCGCACATACGCCGATTTATTGCATAAAATTTTGTGAAGGAAACACAAATTCCAGCTCCGGAAACCTCCCGAATTCCTTCATACTCCCCAGCCCAAGCCAAACCGCTTCTATTCCGTTTAACGAGACTTGGCGGCAACCTTGGGGGCAGAGCCCTTAGCACCCTGCTTGCTCTGGATGCGCTGGGCGGTACCCTTGCCGGCGGCAGTGTTCTTGGCCTTCTCGGCCTTCTTAGCCTTCTCGGAAGCGGCCTTCTTCTCCTTGGCGTCCTTGATGGCCTGCTGACGAGCAGCAGCACGGGCCTCGGGGCGCTGGTTGCGGCGCTCCTTGATCACGTCGAGGGAAGCACCAACGATAGCACGCTGGGACTTGACGGCACGACGGGTACGCTTCTTAGCGACTTCCTGTATGCATTGAAAAATATCCCGTCAGCATTTCTGGTCCTGTCCCAACGCTTCGTCACTTGCAAATATATCCCAGCTCCTTTCCGATGTTTCCGCATCGTGCTAGTCGACATGTCCATGTCCATCACCGGACCCAACCTCACGTCCCGACATGTCGGACCTTTCCGGAAAGCCAAAGAAACAACTGCAACCATGGGGAAGATTTGGCGGTACTGACTTCAGAGATACCCTTCTTGTGCTGGCGACGGTAGAGGACAGTCCAGGAGATGCGGCGGGGGTTCTTGCGCTGGAGGAAGAGGGACTCGGACTTTCCATTCTGGAAGCGGAAGATCTTGCTGTCGCCACGGACGTACAGCTTACCCTATAATTGTCTAAATGTCAACGAATATATCCTGATAAAATTTCGTATATTTTTTGTGCATGATTTCTTTTTGTATTGGGGGTGGATTGGCTGGCTCGGGGTAGCCTGGGCGAGGGATTCGTATATTCGGTATGGAAGAGAGCGTCTCTCTTGCGGAAGGGGACAAAACGCACCTTTCCAGGGTAGATCTTCTGACCGCTGAAAGAATCGTCGTAGGTACGCATCTTGAACGTCGGAGATGCGCAACGAGATGTTGTCGGTTGGCGTTGGGTGGTTGTATCGTATCGGTCGCTGCGGCGAGCTGTTCGCGAGACGCTGACACAATTGTGGTGCGGTGCGGAGCCTCGCTAAAGTGTGACACGTGACCTCGTCTGCCCTTCCCCGTTTGCAACTTCAACTTCTATGAGACATCTGGGGTGGCTATAGTTATTGGGGGATAATTATTATTCACAATATATCAATTAAGGTCTTGATGCTACTGGGACTAATGGCCATACTTTTATGAATGGTTTTCATGTTGGTATCATCAAATGTTCGATTAAAAGTCCCCTTGTCCATAGAGATTCGGCTTCAATACTACATGTTGAAAATGATCAGATATCTCAGCATAAATCTAATTTCGCTCGCTCTTAAAACTCATCTAAGTTCTTTGCGATACTCATCCAGACAAGAGGCTTTTCCAGTGTGCCATACGTAGCCAAACCGGTTCACTCCCCATCCCATATCTTCAATCGTGCCAATCGCAGAGTTCCCAAGGATTTGGTTTGCATTCCTATAGCAAGTATAACGTTAACCACCATACAAGTACCCATAAGTGTCTTAAAACGCGGACAAAACAGAGGGAATATTACCATGCATTGAATATTACCACATATCTCACTTGGGCATCTACCACAACAGTTCGGACATACACGTCTGCCGCAGCCTCCGGGTTCGCTACATAGGGAAAAGGTACTCATGTCTTTGACATGCGAACCCAGCCCCTCAATTATCTGCAATATTTGTGTTGCATTGTCGGATTTCCCGGGCTTAGATTCGGTATCAGCAATTATCTGCTTAGCTTCTGCATATCTGCAGCATGCTACGCTACAGATTGGGCAGTTCCCACGACAAGCAGTGCACCTCAGGTTCACGGTATTCCATTGTCGGCTGTCATCCACTCTATGTGGTGACTTGGAATCATTGGGGGGAATGGTTTTCACCTCCGTTCCAGTGAGGCTACGAACTTGTTCGATCTGATAATGTTAATAAATTTATCAGCTTCGTTTTCAATGAGATCTACCTACCTGTTTTTGGAGACCCTTCTTGATATCTTGGTACCCTGTCTCCGGAGACTTCTTTCCTGAAGGGTTCACTCCTGATGCTTGCTGCTTCGTACCCTCCATCGCTGATAGAGGGCCGCCTTGAACGAGCTTGTTCGACGTATCTGTCTCCAGGAAATCCAGATCCAGAAAGATATAATCTGTTCAAATACCAGAGTCAGAAACCAATTAATCACCAACAACAAGCCACAATCAAGATGCCTAAAGAAAATGGCTGAACAGGACGTACCGTTAGTCGCTCTGATGTACTTCAGATACTTGGGGGTAGGAGGAGTAGTCGGGGATTTCTTTGTCTCGGTGTGAATACTCCCATGCGTCCCTGTTACGTTGTTATCTGTCAAACTAGCAGCAACGGAGCCAGAACGTTCCGAGCGAGTCGCTTTATCCTGGAAGTTAATCTGGCAGCTGTGCCTATCGGAGTCGCCGGGCAGTTTCAAGGGGTTGCCAGTGAAGGTCATCTTCAACCGTCTCTTGAGCGAGCCTACTCTAGGTGGCCCCTCATTGTCGTCGGTATTGACTTCACCCTGCCTCACTGTCGATTCTGCCTTAGTATCCTTAGATTTGGAAAGCAGTGGCCGGTTAAGAGTATCGTGTTCGATTCGAAGGGCTGTTTTGAGTTGGGCTGTGATCTCTTCTGAAAACCTTCCTGGGTTCATCTCAGTGATTGTTTTGTTCGAAGCTGTGATACAGATACTGAGATGTTTCAGCCACGTACTGGAAGGAGAGGGGACTAAGGAAGGATAATTGAATGGGCTCATGATGCTTACTTGTCTTTGTTGTTGTTGTTGGTATGTTCTCTTTTGAGGTTTTCCTTTCTTTTACCCTTCGATTTGCCTTTAGCCTTGCTTTTCATGATGACGGTTTATCTCGGCTGCTGCTTGGAAGCTCGCGTACTTGGCTACTGTTTGTTGCTAGGGGATGGGAGGGGGTGGGCTAGTCGATGGAGTAAAACCACAGGTGGTATGATGATCTGAAAACATGGTACTGTTTGCATTTGTGAGTCGTGTTCGCTTTTACGTAGATGGAGGGTAGCAGTGAATGATGTGAGAGCGGGCCATATGCTGTGGCTGTTTGAAAACCCCTCGCTCGGAGGTTACCTGTATATCTTACACTTATACTAATGTTGTAGAGGGTATTCCAGTTGGTCATTGCCAGCCTTTACCTTTTCTTGTTGGGGTATACGTACATCAGGTGAATAAAATGCATAAGCGTCTTTGGCCAATAAATCCTATACTGCAATCTCTACTAAGTTTGAACCATTTAGCATCGTATTTACTGGTGATGGGGAACCTGCTGAACCTAGTACCAACTGTCTACCCTTAAGCACAAGATAAAATAATTCCATGATGCAAGTGTATAAGATGGTAGTTTGTAATATAAACTTCTAGAGAAATGAAATCGTTCTATCAAAGTGCAGCTCTGATCTGATGGCAAAATAAATGTGAAAACCATATACCCCGTTTTTGCAGCCTCGACTGCTTCGTAGTATAGGAGCACAAAAGGGCCGTGAGCCAGAGCTGAGATCTATCATCGATGTGTTGAGCAGATGCATGATAACAGGGTCTCTCTTTCAAGGAAATGATATAAGATCTCTCAGGGGCATGAGACTGATCCAAAAGATAGTTGCCGGGAGGGCCTAGGCTCGCAGTATAACTTTTGTTTTCATGGTCACATCACAACGTATTGGTTCATATTCCGTCATAGTGGATTTTGTTGAGTCACTCCTCAATAATCTAAGTCATGGCATGTGTTCTGGTCCATTCCCTAGCGGTCTGTATCGCAGCGGGCTCATCCTCCTTCCAGCGCTGAGCGACATCATTTGCAAGCGGGTCATCTGGGTTCGGAGCTCCAAGCAAGGCTTGGATAGAGAGCAGAATCGTACGGATTTGGAGCGCAGGGGACCAGTTGTCTAACACGCATTAGACTGTTGATATCTTTTAGGGGAGATCCCTAGAAAAGGCTTACTCTTCAGGACATCCAAGCAGATACGTCCGAGACGGTCGATGTTGGGGTGGTAGATCTTGGTCAAGAATCGAATCTTGGGAGGAGTCATAGGATAATCTTCGGGCAAGAACAGTTCAAGACGGAAGATACCACCTTTGTCGGCAATTAGCAATCACCTTGTCCCTTCCCCCTAGATATAAGGGCATGTGCACTATACCTTCATATGGAGATTGGGCCGGCCCATGGATCGAAACATCGAAATAACGCAGGTTGTCTTCATGAGGCACAGCATTGATACCGGGGACCCTAAGATAGCCAACGGATCAATGATAGTTCTTTATTTCCACTATGAGTAAGTTACTTACGGCTCCGCCATAAGGCGCTCAGTCTCCTTCACTATTCTTTTCGGCAACGCCATTTTGAACGACCAGAACTAAACGATAAATGTCCCCGCGTGTAGTCCAAGGTGGGGCTTAGAGTTCTGTTTTCAGATCTTCTTTTTATTCCTGAACACCAGTTATAACTAGTGAGTTCAAGTGCTTCCCAAGATAGATGTAGATTCCAACACGGAGAAAATGATGCAAGGTTGGGGCCAGGATCCGCGCAAGGAACCGTTTAGTCACAGCCGGAAGATCCTATGCTATGAAGGTTCCCAAACCATCAGCAGATGCATCTGTCAGAGGGGTACTTAATCTCACCGCCTTCTGTATACAGCTAGACACGGGAGCACATATGTGCCATAAGCGCAACTTGCTATCCTAAGCCCGATAGGGATGCCTTGGAGGGTCTCCACACCACCTCGAAGTTGCGGAGATGTTATAGCTACCAGAATCAAGTCATTAAGGTAGCTTATGCTTTGTTATATGTGTGAGTGTACACATGTACTAAACCTTGACGCTGGAATTCTCACTCTACCTTACCAACTTAACTTACAATGGATCCTTAAAGACAACTACTAGTGCTGTATCATTGCGCAATGTGTGACAATTCCTTCGTTACCTTCACTTCGTACAATTGACGAGACTATTCCGAATCCATCGAAATGAAAGCACTTTCTAGTGCCGTACAATCCTTTCTATCGATGATTTGTAGGAAGACTTGAAACCCGACACATCCCCCAAGGTACTCCTCGGAAGGAGTCGGTAAATACCCTCAAAGGGAGCAGCAAATTGAGCACCGGGCGCTCCTCAACTACATAATGGTCGATCCTAATGAGCCTAGGCCGCTCACCTCGGCATTCGAAAGTCCAACTTTTGGAGAGGATAGTTCCTTCCATGTCGAGCAGCCCGTGGGGTCCATGTCAATATCGCCATGTGGACGAGACGTAGTTCTGGCTTCAAAGGAGGGTCTCCATATCATCGATTTGGATTCACCATATTCACCACCTCGATACCTCCCTCATCATACACCATGGGAGGTCGCGGATGTTCAGTGGTCACCGTTCGCTGCTCGAGATTATTGGGTCGTCAGCACATCGAACCAGAAGGCTTTGGTGTGGAACTTGGCAACGAAGTCCTGCCAGAACTCAATTGAGCATGTACTGCATGCTCACACTCGCGCAATAACCGATATAAACTTCTCCGCTCATCATCCCGACGCCTTAGCGACCTGTGCCGTGGACAGTTTTGTCCATTGCTGGGATTTGCGATCCCCTTCTCGACCTGCCATCTCGTTCTCAGATTGGTTTGCCGGTGCAACTCAAGTTAAATGGAATAGACAGGATCCAAATGTCATCGCCAGCTCCCATGATAAATTTCTAAGGATATGGGACAAGAGAAAAGGTGCTTATCCAATTCGGTCCATTGAGGCTCACGATACCAAGATCTATGGTGTTGATTGGAACAGAGTTCGCCCAGGAGCAATAACAACGTGCGCTTTAGATAAGACGATTAAGTTTTGGGATTATACTGTCGAAGGTGAAGAGCCGGAGAAGGTAATTAGAACGCCTTTCCCGGTATGGCGCGCCAGGAATACCCCATTTGGATGGGGTGTTTTAGCAATGCCACAGAGAGGCAATAGCGATCTTCATTTATATAGTCGCCGGGCTGGGGAAGGTGAAGATCCCGGCAAAGACCTTCCTCTTGTGCACAGCTTCCCAGGGCATAAGGGCCAGGTTAAGGAATTCCTGTGGAGAGCGCGTGGAGGCGTGGTCGATGGAGCTGATTACAGGGATTTCCAGTTAGTGTCGTGGGGAACTGACAGGGAACTTCGTCTGCATAGGGCTGATCCGGATGTCATGCGTGGCGTCGGCTACGAAAAGGGAAAGTCATTTATCTCCAACATAAACCTCACCCGCAATGGCGCCGTCTACAAGAGCTTCCGTGATGAAAATGGCAGTCGAGGATATGATGATACAGATTCTCTATCCGCATTTCAGGAGTCTGTCTCCGGCTCATCCCGTGCCTTAGGTTTGAACACCATATCAGTGCCGTACACTCGGCCGTGGACCCAGGGCGGTAACACGGATTCCAGAATCGGTATGCAAGGCAGAAGTAACCTCCGAACTGATACGAACCCCATATCCTGGATGCGAGGCGTGAAAATATCGGGTTGGGATGTCGAAACTCTAGGTGATGAGATCACGCATGTGGGCGAGAAGTTCACTAAGGTCGATTTTGACTCCGTGGATGTTAGGCAACGGAAGGCAACTATATCTTTGCATGGACCTTGGGGGCCGGAAGGTGATTCGCTCTTCTTGAAAGTGGACATAAAATTCCCTGCCGACTACCCAAGGACTGCAATGCCAACGTTCAGTGTGCAGAGGACATCGGCTGTCACAGACGAACTTGCCGACAAGCTTGTTGCAGAATTACGTACCATTGCAGAAACTTTCCTCTCTCATAAAAGAGGCTGCCTTGAAGGGGTTGTTCGCTACTTGTTAGGTGAAACCAGTTTGGAAGAAAGCATAGCCTGGATATTGGGTGAAACAACTGAGACCGTCAAATCACCCATCAGCGGTCAGTTAGAGACGGGAGAGTCAAGCGACGAAGATGAAGTAGGATTGTCTCAGAGTCAAGAACTGGGGATGAGTTCTGAACTGCTACGGCCAGTCAATGCAAATGTAATGGTACCTGTGGCTAAGGCATGTGGTGCTCTTTGGGCCAATGATGGTCGCTTAGTCTGTTTTTTTCCTACTAAAAAGGACAAGTCGGCGTCTCTGCTGGAGAACTTAGGTTTCAAGGAAATGACGAGGCTGTCGAGGGCAGACAAAGTTTTTGAGGGGTTCGGCCGTCTGCAAACGAGTTCGCCCGGGCCAAGGGCTTCGGGTACAATGACTAGTACCGACGATGGCACCTCCGATTACTCGGATGACTCGGATGCGGAGACCTCCAGCTCTTCTGGTTCTTCTGGTATCCTATCGACCTTGCAACACCGATTTCCAACGCCGCAAACATGGCGCAGTGCTGGCAGTCTTGGGCTATATAAGCCGCGGTCCACAGACAATTCTCAGAGGTCAACTGTTGGTATGATGACTTCGAAAGTGACTGAAAATCCGCAAAACATTGTATCTATCCATGACCTCAGTGAGTTGTTGCCAGCAAAACGCGAACTGGCAAACAAATACCGTATCTGCGGTAAAGGTACCGATGTATGTGCCCACAATGCTGCGGTTGCTCTCGATCATGGCTTCTACGAGCTAGCTAGAATATGGGGCCTCGTCAAGTTGGTCTTGAACAGTAATAAAAAGCCTGTCCCGACATCTGGCCTGGACACCGGGGAAAGACCGCAGCAGATGCAGAGGAAAGATAGTGCCGTGGATCTGAGTTATGATCTCGGAAATCAAGACCAGCATCCAAAAGATAATGCCAATGGTGTGATTCAATGGGGAGACCACCCTTTCGGTGGACAGTGGCTTGTTCCTGCTCTCTTCGAACATTTTGAACGGGTCGGTGACGTACAGATGGTAGCGATGCTAAGTTGTGTTCTGCATGAATCAGATCATGAGAAGTACTCGCCGAACGGGGAACACCACCCCAGCAAAACAGTATCAAAGAGGGTAGACGATCAGTCCTTATCGTTAAATAATTACTCTACCCAGGCAGCCTCGCACAGTAAATTTCACACGACAACACCCCTAGGATCTACACCGAAGGACAGCCATACTACACCCATCACGCAGAGTTCTGGACGATCGTCTTCTGAAATTTGGCGTCTTGACTCAACTCCTCCCTATTCTACAGGCACAACTCCTCCTTTAGCATCGCGTGCTGCAGGTTTCGCAGCAGAGAGGAAGGCTATGAGCCATACTGCCTCCATAGCTGCCTCACCTGACCAACAATCTCAGCCGCGTAGCGCATCGGGCCTTGGTTCTGTTCTTGCTTCTTCCCTTTCCCGATCTTTCACTTTTGGCCCCTCATCAGCCTCACCACCGGCCAGTGCGTTGTCCCGAAAAAGGCAAAGCCCTGGCGGCAGCCCTAACACGACCGGGGGTATATGGCCTGCAAGTACTTTCATATCCAAACCTGTGTCAGCAGTTCCTGACTACCTTACCACATCCACTGCTCCTACCTCTCAGACACATTCTGATACTGAGAGTGAAAGACCGGAAAAGAACCAAACCTCGAAGCCACGAGCGAAGCTAAGGGTAGTGTTGAAAAACCGTGACGCTTTTGAGGGTAACGGGGACACACAAAATACATTCATCGAAAGCAAGAAGGATGGTCTGTATCGATCGTACCGGCAGGCATACGCCCATTTGCTATCAATCTGGGGCTTGCCTATACAGCGCAGTGAAGTCCTAAAAATTGGGGGAGTTAACAACCACTCTAGCGACACGGACTTCCGTCAATGGGGTTACAACAGTCCGAGGTCATCGCTTTCATTGCCGACCATCAGGCATAGAGATTCGGTGAACTCGACTCTGGAAGCAGGTATCCGGGGACTGGAAATCCAACGACACTGCATCCGGTGTGGCCGCCCCCTGCAAATGTCGATATTCACCAGTGAACCCGCGACGGAGATGGCAGCCAAAAACCAAATGAAGGGAGATCCTACACCCACGATCTGCGCAGGTTGCAACCCGAAACAACCTATTCCCCTCAAACTCCCTTGCGTTATATGCGGGGAGGTGGTTGACGGAATGCTCACGCCTTGTCTCAATTGCGGCCACGTCAGTTGCTTTGACTGCCATCAGGGCTGGTTCTCGGGGCTGTCACCTGAACTACAAGATGACAAGGCGAATGGCATTATAGACATGCACGACAGTGATCAGGAATACCAATACTGTCCCACCGGATGTGGCTGCAAATGCTCGGAGCACATCGTCACAAATATTCCGAGGCCTTGGAGCCCATCCTCGCCAACACCGGAGGGTGAGACTAGTCCTTTGACCAAACCTCGGAAACAACCTGATATTTTATCCAACGTTGGCCAGCACGAAGATGATCTCGATCAATGGCATACGTCACCATTTGCTTCCCTTGCTCGGGGCCTGGGAGGTGGTTTGAGTAGGGGGTTACGACCCAAAGAGGATAGGCGAAAATCTAAGTCTTCCATTTCTGGGTTTGTACCAAAACGAACTGCCATGAATCAAGTGGAAAGTACATGACAGTGATTTATATGGATTGAGCGTCTTGTGTTTCATTTTGGGAGCGAATCACGTATACCCCTATGTTGTGTTCATTCGCATTTATATATTTGTTCATTAGCTCGACTGATATCTTGATACCTCTTGTCCCATAGTATCACTATCCTTATCTAAACCTGATTAAATTACCACTCATATCCATTGTCAAATGACCCTACCTATTTCTGTGTAATCCTAAACATGGCCATCCAATCCTTCCAATAAGCAAGTTCCTAGGGAAAAAGTCAAACCATCCATCCCTATCCCACTAAATAACAACAGCCACATGATCATCCATATAATCCCCAATATTTCCCAAGAAACACGCCGCCAGAATCGAAACACCACCAAACGCAATGCTAGCATAATATACCCACTTATAGCTCTCCGAATAGGCCATCTGGCCTGCCACAACAACAGCCTGATACGCAGTGTCATTCCCTGCGATTCCAGGAATCTCGCGCAGACCGTCTAATAGCGAGGCACCGGTGAGTTCGATTGCTTCGGCAATGTAGGTAGTATTCGTGATATTGAGCTTTGTGAGCATGACGCCGCCGATGTAGTGTTTGGCATTTGGAACGAATTTAGATATGAAGACGTTGTAGTAGATCGTGTAGCCGATGCTACCGCCCACTACGCGGATGGAGAGGGTAAGGGCGGAGATGGTTGCGATTAGGTCCTATTGGGGGTGTTAGGCTTTCCCCTTCAGATTTATTCTTCAAGTATTGTAAGTTGACAAAATACTTACATCTGGACAGATGATGGTTGTCATGATGGAGGCTGGAACTACGATTCCGCCGATACCTAGACCGGCGAGAGTGAGTAGACCCCATAGTTGGTACAAGTTGTCGGGACGGGCAATTGAGATTGCGCCGCAGCCTGAAAACTGTTAGTTAGGTGTTATGTGATAAGATGGTAGGTGTTGGGGGTATACGAACCAGCGGTCATGAGGATACTGCTGATGATTAATAGTTCTTTATTGTGGCCTCGTAGCAGACTCAATAGCCACAGTGTGATGCAGGCACCACCCATGATGCCAAATCCGATGGGTAAGCTTCTGACGCCAACGTCGACTGGATCATGTCCGTATACATTGAACGACTGGGTGGGCCAGAACATGATCACGGAGAAAAAGTTTGCACCAGAGATGAAGGTGATAACTAGGGTTAGACCCAGGGTACGAGGTTCTTGCTTCAGGCGACTGGGGAAGATAGGGTACTTTGCGCCGTAGACTTCCCAAACACCAAAAATGACTAGGAGAGCGAATCCGAGGATGAGTGGCACGAGGACATGCGCTGATGACCAAGCGTACTGTAGCATAGGTAAGCTCTGAGATCAAGCAACATTGGAGTGATAAGATTGTGATACCTGATAACCGCCCCATTGCATTCCGGCCATGAACAATATAAGTCCCACAATGCTGAGGAAGCCACCGACATAGTCAACCCGACTCATGACCTCTCTGGGGGATAATCCCTCTGAATTAATCCTTGGTGGCGGATAGTAAAATAGCGCCGTGATCAACAAACCGAAACCATTCCAGGCACCGCAGAATGCCCCGACATATCGCCAACCGCTATGGGCTGCTATAAGCTGAGCCCATAATACAGATGGGCAGAACGGCACTATAGTGAAGATTAAGACGGCGACATATTTGCCTCGCTGTCTGGTAGGCGCCATCTCAGATGTTGCAGCTAATGCGGTCAACTCGTTGACACCCGCACCTGCACCTGCGATGGCCATTCCACCTAGTAGTGGTTAGCCAGAAAGGAGGCCATCCTGGTAAGCCGGGGTCTTACTGATGAATGTATTCATCGTGTGTGCGGTACTGCTCACAATCATCCCAATACAAATGAGCGAAACTCCAATTAGGGCAACAGAGCGACGACCTATCAGATCGGAAAGGGATCCAACAAATGGACAGACACCAGCAAGAGCGAGGAGGTTTGCTAAAACCTGCACAATATCAAAGGATTGTAAGCTCAACTGTTTTGTTGAATATGGGAAGGCACAGGACGCACAAACCAAACCCATCGATCTGATCCGCCTATATCTCTATAGATGTAGGGTGGAATTCCTCCTGTACATCAATTAGTGTAAAAGAAGTGAGACGTAGTTTTGATTAGAACTCACCAAACAGATAGACAGGAATCTGACTGCCGGTCCATAAGAAGGCCATAGCTGTAAAGCCCATAAACCGACGGAAAGTCATCTGGCATTGAAAGTAAAATAGTCATTTCTCGACATTCTTGATGAAAGGTTGGAAAACGCTATAGAGACGTTATAATAGAGCTTACAGGAGGCTCAGACACTTGCTCCCCCGATTCGTCCGCATAGTCACCCGATCCAACATCTTCTTGGTGACTATAGCCCTGTTTGTCATGGCTATTGTCCATATGTCCGACGGTCTTTTCATCCGCTTGCGATTGAGTGGAGTTATCGGTGAGCTCCATGACTGCCGCTGTTCTCCTATTCCAAGAGGGGGAAAGAGGGAAAGATTCGAGTTAGAAATTCAATCCGCGCAACTTTGCAGTAGTAGACACATAAGGTCATTAATTGTATGCTTCACGTTTGGGGTCAAGGCAATCGTAAGTCAAGCAAATGTAGAGTAGGTTAAGTATAACAAGCTTTCCCCAAGCTCATGCCTGCATCTTATATTCTCCAGATTATGGGTACACAATGAATTCCACAATAAGCATGGATCGGCGATGCTTAAGTATTGCTGCCTCGTACGAATAGTAATAATCGAAAGTGGTGGCGAATGAAGGCCGGCACCAATCGGAGACGTAGACAAAAAGAGCCTAGAAACCGGTGATATTTCCAAACCGAGACGCAGCCGAGGCGTTTTGCAGGTTTCTGAAGTTGTCAATGCGCTATTACCGAACCATATCTAAGGTGGATTCCGGGGAAAATGCGGGGGAAGCGTGGAGAAGGTTTCCATGATCGATGGTCTAGACAAGAAATGGTTTGGGTCAAGAGACAGCACAATTTGAATTTTTCACGTAAGAATAGATTCACTCTATTGGAGGGGTCTTTATGATCTTGTGGACCTCTCTCTCTACAAAATTACCGTATATACACAAGCATACAAGGAATACCGCAAATTGGGAGAATCGCTCAAAAAGGGCTCCTCTGGGCAAAGCCCTACCAAATTGTCTAATCCCTCGGTAATTGACTCCAGCATCCAGATATTGCCCCCCAGAGTAAGGCATTAGTAAGGCATCAGTATCTAAGGCGTCGAGTCAAATAAAGGTCCGTTGACAGATAGGAATATCGGGCTCTTGCATCTCAGTAGCGCTCCCCAATCTTCTCAAGTTTATACTTCTTAGGAACAACGAAAAGGGCAGATGCTTGAACACAAATTCTTCCAACCGGGTCGCGTACTTCTCCCGTCACGTAAGCCTTGCTATCCGTGGTACGTTCTCGTTCGATGGTAGAATGGAAGGTATAGAAATTGCCCGAATAGACCGGAGCGCGGTATTTAATCTCAAGGTTTGCCGTAACTCCTGTACGCTCTGGAAAATGGCGAATTGCGACACGGCCTAGATTCTCATCAATTACAGTGGCAAGCGCTCCGCCGTGGACAACAGTCGGCCATCCTTCGAGGCCATTCCCGAGATAGACAACGCTAACGGCCTTCCGCTCCTTGTCGTTCCAAAAGACTTTCTGTATGATGAATCAGCTAAATGTTATCACTAAGATTCAATTGCTCCAATGCAAGTTGAATAGTTGAGAAGCTCTGTATGACAGTTACACTGCCCTAAGCTCTCTTTACGGCGGCAGGTTCGCAGCATGTCGCACAGTAAGAGCCTAGAGAAGAGACGAACCTGTAGCGCTAATCCCCGGCTCCCTTTCAATGGACCAGATGTAAACCTCTGCTTCTTGTCCTCCTCAGAATAGTTCCCATACACGTCCGCTTCCACATAGTCCGGATTGTTTCGGAGCTCCTGCACGATAGGCAGCCCAGTCTCGTATACTCGACGAATCTCCTCCAGTTTTAGGACATCTTCTGTCGTTTCGGGTGCTGCCGGTGCAGAAACCTTATTATCCATCCATTTCCCTGCCGCGACCCCGAGGCCACCAAAGATTCCGGCATAGATCAGTCGTCGCGGCCACTTCGATCTTTCAGGTGTAGATTGATGGGTTATAGTGCTGGTGCTTCTTGAGATCTGAGGATTGAGTCGCAATATCAGCTGAGACTGAGATCCTAGGCTGCGTAACCGGGACTGTAGGGCTCTGCGAGTGCCAATCATGGTGTTCACATCGCAATCTTGCGGGTGGTCACGAAACTTGAATTAGCTAGTACGAGCTAATGGTTCATATGCCGAGGCATCTAGTTTGGGGTCACGTGATACTAAGGGGAGTACGATATCTTTATGGATCTTGAGCAGCTGGCTCTAGATGTTTTCTTTATTCTAACCATTTGAGTCTATCCAACCTAGCTCGCTTGGAGGTCCCTGACTCAGAGAATCTTCCTTTGGTAAAATCCGACGAACAGAATCAAGCTGGGTGCCACAACAAAGATACAACACGAATAAAAAGTCAAACTGTTTCCCCCACTGATACAGACATCACTCGTGTTCCACATATGCACGTAATGTTATTATCATTATTCAGCCTGTTATTTCATGAAACCAAAGCCTTTGCTGCCTTAGTCCGCAGTGGGCAGGTCAATCGCGCGGTAGAGGAGAATCAACGCAGAATGGGACTCGCCTATATAATTGTCAGTAGGAGATCTATATTATTTTCAATCATTGAATGAACATACCACCGCCAGAAAGAGTCTCAATCTTCTCCGCCTCCACTTCGGTCACTTTCTCATCGTTGAACCACCACCACTTTCCATCCTCTTCCTTGTTACCACGGGCTTGTTTCTTGACATATGCAGTGTAGTGGCCACTGTCAGCGCTAGCACCTTGATGTGTGATTACTCCCCGTAGCTCATAAAGGCCTGACTTGTTGGTACCCTCGTCAGAGCGAAGCTTCGGGTCGATAAGTTCGGAAAGCTCCTTCTTTGCTGCAAGGATAGAAGCTGCCTTCTCAGCCTCATATTCTGCATCGGACTTGAAGACGTCAGTCATTGCGGAATCACCATCCTTCTCGGTAGCCTTTGATGCATCTTTGCGTTCTTCGGCAGCTTTCTTCTTCTGCATTGGCTCCAAAGACTCAGATTCCGCTTCAGTTTTCTTCCCTTCATCCCGCTGATGGGCAAGCTTCTGGCGCTTGCGAGCACGCTCAACATCGAGTTCTTCCTTTCGGATCTCCCGTACTTTGTCTCGAATAGGGATAAGCTCCTTTTTGAGCTCATCTGTACAGAAGTCTACCGCATCAAGCTCGGCAGGGAATGTAACCTTACGCATGATCTTGGCCTTCTTCTGGGTTTCGCGCTTCCAAAAGAAACGGACGAAGTGCACAGTCAAGTATTTGGGCAATCGAGCGATGTGTGAACGCTTTGTGTAAATGGCATCACGGTCTAGAGTAGGGGAACGCTTTTCAATCTTCTCTTCAAGACCGGCTTTTATGCCATCATGCAAGTGGTTTGTTTCTTTACCGATGTGACAATCAAGCTTGTAGAAGACGTCCGAGCTTGGGGTGGGTTGCTCGCCAGCCTCTTTCGCTCCTGGCTCATCACATTCCGTAACAGACTCAAACCTTCCAGCAAGGTATTTATCCACAAAAGATACTTCATTACTAGATTCACCTTCACCCTCCTTGATCATCAGCTTGTTCCGCAGTTGGGTAACGATTTGAGACCATGCCTCTTCAGCATCTTGCTGGGCATAACCATGGCCATTTCGATCCCTCTGAGCGAACTGAGGGAACACATTCCTCAAAGCATTAAGGAACATAAGAGGCGGAAATCCCTCCTGCGTTTCGGACATTTGCTTGAATAGGTCCCGCAAAGAAGCCGTAAGGTCCATTGAGGCGCCGAGGCCACCAAGACCAAAACTGCTGAGATCCGAGAGGTTCGATGCTCCACCGGCACCTGCCGAAGGACGATATCTCAGAAGCTCCTGCTGGAGCTCGGGAACACTCCTCAATGTCTGCAGCGTAGAGTTGAGGTAGCAAGTATTGCCAAGGTTCTGAAGGCCAGCAGGGGTAGCTCCCTCTGCTCTTGCAGCTTCAGCCTCCGTCATGTCCTCCAGGAACTTCACTGCTTCTTTCGGACGACCCAAATCCCCAAATCCTTGGCCTCCAGATGGTGTGCCCATCATCATGAATGTCTGACCCGGTTTGGCGTTGAGCGAGGACAATGGAGTCTCATCCTTAAGTTGTCCTCCTTTGACCAGAATTTTCTGTCGTTCGGGTTCCACGCCGGTGAGGGAATATAATTGGTACTTAAGTGTTTCACCGTTCGAGGATAGATCAAGCTCGACCTCATGACGTTTGCCCTGGTGCTTCACGATAACTGGGGTCTATGAGTTAGAAGATTTCAAAAATATGAGGAGATTCATATAGAAGGGTAGTAGGGTTATTACCTGGTATAGACGCCATTTTGTCTTTATTTTTGAGATTAATCTCAGAAAGCCTCTCCTTGACTTCGCTTGATGAAAGTGACGCATAAACAAGAGCATCATCATCCGTTAATGCTTCGGGGAGGCGTGGGGCAGAGAATGCAAACAAAGCAAACAGGCAACATCGCGGCCTTAGCGGGACCGCCGTCTGTGGCTCCTGAAGCTGGCACTTGACACCTACATCTATTCCTAGGCTTGCTTCCTGGGCCTGAATATAAACATAAATCAGAAAGCCTTAGAATCCTTGACCTGTGGGTTTTGGCCTGATTTACACTCACGCAAAATAAGTTGTTGATGGACTTACCAGCGGAGTAACAACGGAGACCCCAGTATACGTCACACTTCCAATATGGTGAGCTAGGTCAATGCGAAGCTAACAATTGATCGCTAACAATTGAAGTCTCAATCATTGCGTCCATATCTCCAATGCGTCCGAGCCTCTCTCACCTCCGCGCTTGCAGTTTCGAACTTCGCTTCCCAGACGTCCGAGAGACATAATGTACCTGAAATTGAGGCCCAAAGCTCCCCTGAACTCCTTCTCAACCCACTTACCGTCTCTCGCAACGAAAATGAGAAAGTCCTCATCGAACCTAGTGTGAACAGTGTCCGTGTCAGCATTAGGATTAAACAAGCGGACGAGATTGAACATAGTATTACTCTCCATCCGGAAACTTGCTTCTACTCGATATTGTCATAACGATCAGGTTATGCATAGGTGCTAGATACTAACAATTATATACAGTTTTGGTCCACAAGTTCACCCGGTTTTTGACGCAGCGGGCCGAATCTTTCTTCATCTTGCGACGGAAGCCAGTAAAGGTCAGGCATCTTAGCGTACCTACCGCATCTGGATACAGTATGCTAATAAGTCAATAGGGTTATGATATCTCGTTTCTAATAACGAACCGAAACGTAGAAGAGATGCTCAAGCACAAGCTAGTTGATTTCATTATCCAATTTATGGAGGAAGTCGATAAAGAGATTTCCGAGATGAAGCTCTTCGTATGTACCCTCTTCTCCACGGTATACCCGCGTATAATAGTAGTATTGACAATACACAGTTGAATGCCCGTGCGCGATTCGTCGCTGAGTCTTTCTTGACACCTGTAAGAACCCACCTAATGAAGCTCCCTGTATTCTGAACACTATCAAATTAACCAACAACCCATAGTTTGACTAAATTCTTGCTCATAATGTTCATTTTATGGTTCGTGATATATCCATGACCTCCAATTTTATCCAATAGCGAGTATTGTACAGGCGATCTAGGCTGGTGATGGGGTCTAACTCTGCTTCGCTCAATGATTTGTTCCCTTCCCTAGATCTTGAAGTCATTTGGAGTTTCAATGTATGGTGGGCTTCTCGCAACTTACACTTGCCAGTAGATCTTGGTATAAGCGAAGTACAACCATACTAGTAACAAGCATTCGAGACCACTATGTTTTTTTAGCAAGTCATTTACGCTATGTAAGTAATTACAATATTGTTCCACCATTATGGATCTTATATCTATAGTGCAGATATGCTCCGTTATTCACGAACTTAAACTTAGCAAGCAACCACCTTCCTACTATAATCACAATAGGTAGGTACTTACACAACTCTCTTATATCCTAAGCCCACATTTTTGAAGGCATGCTGAGGTTATTTATCTATCTTGCTACATGTCTTCTTCTATGGTCAGGAAGTATTATTTTCAAGCGGCACTCTGGTAAAGCAGTAACAGTCTCTATTCGCCCTAACTAGACTTGTATGGCTTCATTGTTTGATTGTTTGGAAAAGCAAACATTTACCATTGTATATAGCCTGTTATCTTTTTTATTTACTAGTTCATGACTGTTTCTATAGTCTATAGTTTTAGAGAATAGACACATAATGTTCACATATCTTACCTCTTTTTCTATTGTCTTAAGTGATTTTCTACTTCTCCTTTCCTGCCTCCCTTGGTTAGGGCATACTAACAGTTTATACAGAACCAATGCAGGCCCCATCTCATTTTCCATACCCCTCATCACGACTAATCGAATATTCGATTAGTCGGCAATAACTGAGATAAACATACAGATGAAACACAAGTGAATTCTACGTGTTGCCGTGCACTCCCAACCAAGGCTCTCGGCGCTGTCATAGTTGAGATCCTCACGCTTTTCACTCCTAACACGGATCATAATCATCTTTCTCACCACTCCTTACTATCATACTGTTCTTCCAACTCCTTTCTGATGGCTACCAGGCGCCCAGTTGACCCCTTCACGGGACACGACTCTCCTGGCCCATATCATGGTCCGTATCGAGCTCGTGAAGACACCATAATGCAACCTCCCCAGACACCCCAGCCGGGTCCTTCTGGGGCGCCTCATCAACAGGGGCAGTTTCCGAGTCTAGGAGGTTTATACGCCCATCTTCCTCCTATGGGAGAAGTCCCAGGCGGATATTATCCCTATGACACTGCACAAACCCCAACTCCAACCCCTCGGAATCCTCATCCTTTTAGCCAGCTACGAGCTGTACATAGTCCACTCCCCGCCCCAGTGCCCCAGCATCCGTTCCATTATGGGCCTCCAGGGCTTCTTTCTCCTACATTCTACCCCACTGAAGGCACTGTGGCTCCTCAACCTATGAGAGCCGAAGTTCAGGAGCAACCGGGAAACTTTGAGCAGGTCCCAGACCTGAACAAACCGTTTAGCACAGTTGCTATGAGGGAAGAGATGCCTATTGGCAGTTCTGTGCATACTCGTCAGCCACCACACTGGGGCGTTGTCAAGATATCAAACGTAAGTGAGCTTAGCTTCCTATAAAGGATGCTACTAATAAGTGTGAAGATTCCTTATTCGGTTACCAGAAATGAGATCGCGCAATTTGTAGGACGCCCAGCGCGCCTTATCAAAGGATGCCCAATCCATATTATCATGGAGCGCTCGACCGCGAAAACTATGGACTGTTTCGTTGAAACTGAAACTCCGGAAGCAGCCCAGAGAACAGTTGACCGAATTAACAGCATCTATGAGACTGGCCGAGCACCCCGTCTTGGTCTTCGCCGTGTAGACGTGGAGTCCAGTAACCAAGATGCGCTCATGAAAGATCTCTTTCCGAGGGCCAAGTGCATCTCCTGGGAAGATGGTATGCCTCGAGAACTTCCAAACACTGATCCATACTCCACAGGCTTTTCTGGCTTCATTACTAGTGAAGAGATCGTTGGGGCTATTCGCCATGCTGAAATTCCTCACCGTGTAAGTGAACAGCTCGCGCACATCGTCTGAAAGGGACTAACATGTTGAGCGCCCACTAGTCACCTTTCAGCGTCAAATGCCCTCAACGCACCTATGAGTCGACGATCAGTACGCTTTACAAGGTATTATGTCACGACCCATTGACTAAACAAATGGAGAATGTGTTTCTCACCTAGTATATAGTATCCATGGTACGCCACAAGGTTGTACACGGTCGATGATCGCAATCAACTATTTGAGCTGACGAATCGGCACTTGATATCTCTTGCATCCCGTATTGACAGAACTCAAACCATGGGCCTGGACCAAAATCTGTTGAGAGATCTTCTTTATGCTGGATTTAATTGTCCAGCCTTCAATGAACGTCAGAAATATACTCTGTGTGTAAATTCTAACCTTGCACCAGAGATCGCTAGGTTTCCAGATATCAGCAAATGGTTTCCGTTTGACACTCTAGTGCAGCTGCCCGACTTTAACAAGAATACACTCATGGTAAGCATCTTGACCATTTTTATTGGAGCCCACACCAGACTATTCAACTTTCTTCCTTTTTCATGACAATTGACACTTATCTGTCATTCTTCCAGTATTATGCGAACTTGATATCTAGGGGAACGATCCCCGATCATGGGATCCCCCACCTGACGAACACTTTCCCGCAGGATAGGGATGATCTTCACTCTCCCTACGGTCGTGTGTGGTTTGAATGGCCCGCAAATATCAGTAGAACGGTCCTCTGGGAAACAGCTGTTAGAATTGAGATGCAAATACTAGGCAATCTTGTCCTCACTGGATGGGTCACCAAGGATAATGAAGTCAAGGCTAGACTGGCAGCTGCGGAACCCTCGTCTTCAACCAGACATGACACTCGACGCACCCTCAATGGCTCAGTTGCTAGCTCTGAAGAAGGTCTAGGTGTCCAAACATCCTCCAGGCTTGATATATTCGCCACCCCATCGCGCCGTGTGACCGAAACTGGCCCATCTTATCGTCCGGAGCGGGAAGCGGGGGATGAAACTCCACGTCCATTCAATGACAGCGATCAAAGCCCTTGGACCCGTAGGCTTCTCATATTCCCTCCAGGCACAGCAAGGGAAGGTTTCCATTTTGGCCATCGAAACACAAAGTCCTCTCCAGGTAATCTCACACCTTCGGGTGTTTAATCTTCGGCTGCACGTTGAACTTCGGGGTTCAAATGTCGCTATCTGGTCTATCTGTCATTCTATGGCAATATATCATCTAATTCCCCCGGTTTTGTTTACGAATCTCATGGTTTTTCTAAAATTCAACAATCCACTCATTTTTGCGTTCAGCTCCTACTCACTCTGTCTGTCTGGCGTTGCATTATCCTTGTCTTCAGAGATACCGCACTCGATATCGTGCCATCGATCATCTGAAGAGACAGCAACATTCGCATTGCTCAGGTCTGGCTTGAATATGATAGATGGGCAGCCTTGGGCCGGCACAGAAAGCACGTTTTTGTTATGCTTTGTCTCTCCATTTCTTGGTTTTGGTTGTACTTTCATTCTCCTTTCCATTGTTCCTCTAGGTTTTAATCGGTTCTTTTCATATTCATGACACGAGACCTAAACGTACACCATGAGGTTCGATGCTGATGGCTTTTCAGTCTGTTTTTCTTTTTTTTCTTATTCTGTCGCATTGTCATTTCTCCAGCGTTCGTCTAAGGTTTTATCGATTCATAATGTCCTTCGGTGACGGGGAAACCATGCCAAGTCCGATGCGAATAACGCTATTAGTCGAATTCAATGGTATTCTGTTTCTATGATTCCGTTTAGTCACGGTTCCTTAGTAGCTTGCAGCGTATCTCGAACTTCATTGTCTTTCGCCTGGTCTTGGAGAAGTTTCTGTCTCATCAGCCCCTCAGCTCTCATCCTCTCTCGTCGTGTCTGGGCATCCTCCCATCCGGGAGATTTGGTTTTCTTGTTCGTCTTTGGTCCTCGGCTTGCAGAGTATAAAACTAGCAAATTCTCTCGGAATCTTTCTTTTCGTTCTGTGTTGATTGAGAACCTTTCATTTGCGATTGCAACCAACATCTGCAGATACTCCTCTGTTACGAGGCTGCGAAGGACTGGTTCGTCGGTTGCTGTCACGTCGTCGGCGTCGCTATCTTCACAGTACCCAATCACTGACTCCAGGGATAAACCCGCAGAGCGCACGGCGACGATCGGACTAGGACCTTCATCACCCTCCAAACAGCGCAAACTCTGTAGCCCACTTTCGCGGAAGCCAGAGCTTGAGGCGGCAGATAATACGGGGTGAGCATGTTGTAGCGTTGCTGTCATTATATGAAGAATCTGTGGAAAGCGTTCTCAGTACTCGAGTACAGCAAACTAGTGCTTGAGCCAGTCCATTTTCAAATCCCAGTACCAAACGGGTTAGTAGTATAGGGCCAGTAACAATAGAGGCTAAGCTTTGACCTTAAGGGAACAAAAGAACGAGACTCATGTTCAAGCAAACAAAGAAACGCAAGCTTTGCTGTAAAGTGAATATGACTAGGGACAAACGCACTTCTTCGAAGAGACAAAGAACACAGGATTGGACTAACGTACCAGAGGCTCGAAATGGAAGCGCACGAGACGCGGGGCTTTTCCTTGTTTGTTCAGCCCGGGGGGTTTACCATCTCCAGGGACCATTCCAAACAACTCATGCAACGACTTCCCTTGATGGCTGTCTCTTTCAGAGCTATTGCTGCCACATGGTGCGCCATAGCCTTGCAAAGGATCGTGAGAAACATACAGCCATTTCCCAGCACCTTTACCTCCCGAGGCTACAAACTGTCTTTCTTGCTCCTCGTGCGGCTTCGGCTGCTTCTTTCGCCCCTCTAGGAACACGCTGATACGCCCCGCGCAGCTACTGGTGGTAACTAAGCCTGGGTGAGTATTAATTTCATGGATTAGGTCCCGAATACCCTCATCGACAGACCCCTTGGGCGAGAGGTCTGTGTACTCTGCGTCGGGAACAGAGAGTTCTGCAAGAATTTTACGCTTGCGAGATTCGAACACCTCGGGTATCGCGCTTGCTTTGACTTCACTCATGGGTAACTTGTTTTTCTTTTTTCCCTATGTGGAGTTGTTGTTGAGCAAGGGATAGAAACAGGTTCGTTAAGGTAAAGATACGGAAACCTGCACTGCTGTTTGGAAAACGAATGAGGCTAATCGGCTAATATCTTTGGGTGAAAGGTGGGTCAAATAAAGATTGGACAAAAACCAAGCTTGATAGAACCAGAAGAGCACCAGAAGATATACAATACAACAAGTGAATGTTTTGTTCTTAACCCGACAAATCCTGAGATGGTTTCATTCCGAGAGTGACGACGTTTTAACGACCGCACTAACTTTAGTGGTTGCGGGAGGCAAAGAATTGCCCGCTTTTCCACGCGAAAACCGCCCCAGAAGTTACCAACCTCCTGGTCGCATTCCCGGTCCCTTCTGAACCGTCTGAAAGTCTATCAGTCACTAACGACCCCATAGTTTGGTCAAGAAGCTTACAAGCTGCCGCGGGAGCTTATTAAATACTATACCTCCCAGATCTCTCCTACAAGTTTGTCCGCTCAAATCTTGCGTAACTAATTGTGTCTACAAGTAACAGCTTCAATTTACGTTTTCCCTCACAAACGGAGGAAAAACTGGAAACCTTTCTCTTGCTATGCCTCGTCGATCGTCTCGGGCCGTTCCCGCGTCGGCGGCAGCACCAGCGCCAGTACCAAAAAGGCGCGCGTCTGACAGACTCCCCACTGCCTCCAAGACAGGACCTAAAAGACAAAAGTCCGACATCACCACTACCACCACTGGAAGGCCCATCAGATCCACCTCGAAGAAAAGCAGATACTTCCAAGAAGAGCGTTCAGATGATTCAGAAACTGACTCCGACAATGGCTCCTCGCCAGAGGATTCCCCCTCCAACTACGACGACTCCGCATCCTCCGATGCGGAGTCAGTCGCATTTCCCACAGCTAGTGAGGCAACAAAAAATCCAAGAAGAAAGCCCGAGAGACCACGAAAGAGCCTAGAAAGCAACAAGGGAGATACAGAAGGCACCAGAAAGAAATCGGGCAGTATTCCAGAAGATGATATGAACGAAGCATTGAAAGATAAGCAGTTGTGGAAGGAAGGTGTCAGAACCGGCCTGGGACCTGGAAAAGAGGTCTTCATCAAGAAACCCAAAGCAAGGGATGCAGGTACTGTGCCCTACCAAGAGCATACCTTGCATCCCAACACCTTCCTTTTTCTTGTGGACTTGGCGGAGAACAATGAAAGAGCTTGGCTCAAAGGTAACACGATATCATGCAAAGGAAATCAGGATTTTTAATCACAGCTAACTATGACCACCTTTGACAGCGCACGATGCGGACTACCGTGCCTCTAAAAAAGATTGGGAGAGCTTTGTTGAAAGCCTCACCGATAAGATTTCAGAGATGGATAGCACAATTCCCGAGTTGCCTGTTAAGGACCTGGTGAGTACTAGTAGTTAAATTGGCATGAAGAGTTCCAAATGAGATGGCTGCATTAACATGTGCGTTGATCCAGGTGTTCCGTATACATAGGGACATTCGGTTCAGCAAAAATCCTACTCCTTATAAAGTACGTTTAAACTTCGAGCATCTTCACATCTAGTGACCATCCCTTACGGGTACTGGATTGTATCGCCAGGCTAACAGTCGGGTTTGAGCAGACACACTTCTCAGCTGCCTGGTAGGTGAAAAACAAATACTAAAAGAAAAGCAGTCAATTAAATGACTCCATAGGTCCCGTACAGGCAAAAAGGGCCCTTACGCTGCTTATTATGTCCACTGTCAACCTAAGTCCTGTTTTGTCGGTGAGTAACACCAAGAGAGCATTTCAAAATATTTTCATGTATTCAAAAAGCCATGGGCCAATTACCTCCAGATATGATGTTGCATGCTTTAGAGGGCATGTACCTCAACATATTCTGGAGCCGCATATGTCACGATTAAGGCCTCCCTCTATGTTGGGCACATCTCGTTGTGGGCGGAACGCTCTAAGCCTAGAACAATGGGACATTGCACGACATCTTATATCCAACTGAATCATCGGCGGGGAAAGTATGTGTGCTAATGACATGTCTCGGGTGGGCTTAGGTTCAGGTCTCTGGCATCCAGAGGCGGACAAACTTGCGCTTATGCGAGAGGATATTGACAGGAATTCGCATCGCCTGAAGGCGGTCTTAGGAGAGGAAGGAATGCGCCGCGAACTTTTCAACGGGGTACCTGATGAAGAGAAGGCTGTCGAGGCTTTTGTCAACCAAAATCAAGAAAGCGCGCTCAAGACCAAACCCAAGGTAGGCAGCTCTTTGTTTCTCAGTCATTACTCCACAGCTCAAAAGGACTTGTGACCTTCCTGTTTTTATCCTATCGCCTATGCCGGTCTGATTGCATCAAATCGTTTGTTTACGAGACACGTGCGCACATTCTCGAGTTTTGAAGGCGACTCGGTCGCGGGTCGTCACTAAAATTGGCGCCTGCTGCTCGTTGGTTTTCATCACAAAGGACGCAGGTCTCCAGCAGAAGTCCTATTTCTGAACCTAAATGGAGCTAAACAAGTCAACTTGGTACTTAGGTTGATGATTGAGGTGCCCAGATGCAGCTTTTGCGAAGCGCTAGCGGTCGCCAGGGCCGTGGGATCGCGATTAGGACTGCTCATCGCCAAACTATCAGTGTCTTCAAACATCATAAATTGAATGAGAAAATCATCTCAGCAGGATGATCTGGTTCAGTGACTATTCTCTAAAGGACTCGTTGCCCTGTGGGCGTCAACAGCCTTTCGTGATAGCAAGTCTAAGAGACCAGTGTTGATGGGTGCAAGCGCTGCAAGCGCGAACGGATGATCCCGACTGGTCTACCCGTCTGGGTCGCGCCCTTTTCCCACACAAGCCCCTGGGGCTTTTCCTGTTTGCTTTTGGGTTCAACGTCATTACTGTTCTTCGGCCTAGCACGGAAATTCGTCTGGTGTCCCACAGCGTGTTTTGGTCTCGAAAACTTTTCTACACCGTCTCATCTGTTTCCATGGTTCACTATCAGCTTTAACCCGGCGGGTCATCGGTGTCGTCCAATTACAATGCTAACAAAATATTTTCCTTACCCAGGGCTACGGCTTGGACAATGAAAATATTCGACTGCTCCGCTTGCGCAGTTTCACCATCGGCAGGCCTCTAGCCGATGAAGAGCTTATGAGTCCCAACGCACAGGACAAAATTGCAGCTCTTATTGGTATCATGGAACCTTTCGTAAGCCAATCCATCCCAACGCCATCGTCGTGTAGCCGTCGTTTGGCTTTCCCTCTTTGCTTGCCCGCATCTGTATCCAATGGATCCTAGCACCTGTATCGAATACGGGCCCTTTCGCCCCGTTCCCCTCTTCTCCTCGCCAGCCACTTCAGCGGTGTAGTCTCGGATACAATGATACCCACCATTTAGCCAGTTGTGCTGGAGATGACAGGGGTCACTTGGAGTGTCTTTTTATGTGATAACTTTTACTGACAGGAGATGTCATCACTTGATAGGTTACGTACCTCAACAGCGTCGTCATGCCTGATCCAGAAGATATGGATGCCAGTTCCGGGTCGGAAAGTACAGACTAAATTGGGTATCTTCTTGGGATGAATGATAGCATGTTGTCTGTCACAATGTAGGTGTATATTTGAAGACTGTGGGGTATTTTTCTTAGTTGTTTCTCTATGCCCCCCGCTTTTTTTTTCCTTTTCTTTGTTTTTTTTTTTTTTT